ATGTATTAAATATTAGTAATAAATTGTAAAAACCTAAATTGTAATTGTATACGCAATGGCCTATGTTGCCGCGGGATGTATTAAATAAAAAAAAAATTGTATAAACGTAAATATCGAATTTAAATAAGAGTTATTGGTATCAAAATTTTCTTTAAAACTCAACTACAAATTGGCTATCATCAGTTCTTAAAAAAAGTTTAATAAAAAAATGTATTTTTAAAATATTTTGTGTAATTATGAAAAATAACATAAAACGTATTTTAAATGCAGTCCTCTATTGCAAAAATTAAAAAAAAAAATAATAATAAAATGTCATATAGATCATAAGTTATGAGTTAGATCTGTTTCACTCTGTATATAGAATGTAGTAGAATACATTAATTGTTTTTGATTAATATATGTGTTTTTTTTTATCAAAACAATGACAATAAGCGATTATTCATATTTACTACTTTAACAAATGTAACACGTTATAAAATCCGATATATATATATATGAACTAATTAACTAGATATAAGAAAAATTGACAAAATCCAAAATTATTTCGGTTTCTAGCTATGATTTATACGACACATAAGAACAATTTAAAGAATTTTTTAAGAAATATATAAATAGACATTATTCGGCTTATCTGTAATATTACAATATTACAGATAATCATAAACTTCAATTATTGAAATATAAATTCAACTGCATTTACTATTTACTAATGATCTATGGGATCATTCACTACAGATTTTTAAGTTGTAGCAGAATACATAAATAGTCTTTGATTAATATTTGGGTATTTTTTATCAATACAATGACAATAAGCGATTATTCATATTTACTACTGTATGGTACAGAATGCCTTTAGAAGGATTTAGTTGACCATTCCACTTCAGGATCTTTGTTACAAAGATCATTGATTATATTATTTTGCGGGACAGCTGATCACCAGCATCTTGCTTTACTCACCCCCTTGCCTACCCATCACGGTAAATCGATGACCTCCGTGTCGGTTTTCATCAGTTCATTGTCGTAAGTCAGTCAGTCAATTGTTTCTTGTGTCACTTTTTTCTGTTGTAAGCGCCTTCGCTTGAATGGTAAAATTGTCCGGCCGTTGTACGCCATAGTTTCTTATTACTTGTTTATTGCACCCTTGTGCTCAAAGTCTACTTGCTTTTGCATGCCACTAGTGATTGGGCCCTGACCATCACTAAACATTATCGTTCCCGTAGTCTGTTCTCATCTGCCATTAGGTACTTGGATTTACACTCCGACTCGTCATACTCAGATGTTCGACACCATACCACAAGATCTCATACAGTCCACTCATCACTATCAACAACGTCATCTATACAGCTGAGTTTTATATTATTTTTAAATGTTAATTATTGTTTGTTTTAATTGAGATTTGTTTTATGCCTCTTCGCCGGCCACTAGTATTTAAGGGCCCCCGTTACCCTTTAAATTTAAGATAATCTCTGAGGAATTTCTAATATATGTGCTTATTTGTTATTTAATTATTGTCTACTCTCGTTTACTTATTGGATGTATAGTTAGCCGTCATCTCTTAGGTGACCCACTCCCGCATCAATAATAACGTTTTTTAAACAGGCTTAAGGTAAAACGGCATTCTAGTGCGGTGCACAACTAGCCGTCCTACGGTCTAGCTGCCTCGTACAAAACAACTACTTTAATAAATGTAAAACGTTCATCACTAAAGATCAATTTCATAGTTCAGTCTAAATTATTAAAATTTATGAAATTAAATTCAAAATTACAATAATAAAAAATTAAGTATAAATTAATTGCATCATAGTATTAGATAGGTTATTTCAATTATTACTTTGAATGGAACGTTCTTTATGAAGTAGAATAATTATTAAATAATATTTATTTTTACTTAAAACACAACATAACTTCAATAGAAAATTTATTTAATGATAATATAGTAAGAAATCATAAAAATTTAATAATTACACAGAGTGTGTTTATAATACATAAAATAAAGGAAGTTATCAATTATAGAAATTAATGAATAAAAAATTCACAATTTGTTAACATTACACATCAAACGATGAAAAATAATCATATCACTGTAAGTTCAGCTACAAAGTCTTGGTGATTGACAAAAAATTGTAAGTAACACGTATAAAATAATATTAATAATTTGTTGAGATAATAATTTTAAATGGAAGTATTTTAAGGAACCAATTATGGAAAAATATAAAAACTGATCAAACCACCACAATAGAAGCAGCCGCTGTTTTCGACTGATCGACTGAAACCTCATTCAATTGTTTCCCATCATCCGTCAACATTTTTAAAAGTATCTTTTCGAGCTAAAAATAAATTTTTATTATTTTAATAATTATGCATATTTCACAACTGAAATAATTAATATAAATCAAAATATTGTAAGTCAAATACTGAAAAATAGTTACATTCATTGCCATTACACAAATGTTAACCCATTTAGTTTGAATATCAGAGGCCCATTTATGAACCATAATTATTGAATCTAGATAATCCAACTTTTTAATCATTTTTTTGGACGTTTTAACTATCCAATCTTTTTCATGCTGTTTATTTTTGATTTTCTGCATGAAATGGCGCAAATTTATTAGTCTGGCCCTTGCGATTGTTTTATCAACTCGGATCAACTCTGATCCGAGAGATGAAATAATTTGTTCCATTGTATTTAACCATTCCATCATAGAATCAATAGATTTGTGCAACTCCAGCTGAAATTATTAATTCGATCAATATATATATAAATATAATATAATATAATAAAGTATAATATTGTTGGATGAAATATAAATTTGGAACTTACCTTTTCCTGGAGCGTCAAAGGCTTTATCCAATTCAAAATGGTGTGTTTCAAGCTTTTGGAAACCTTCATTACAGGCATAGCAGCATCTAAAATAATATAATATACGATAAAATTGTTACATTGTTAGCAACTTAAATGAATAATTTTCGTTTAACTGTTATATAAAAAATTATCTACTTACTTTCAAGACACTCGATGAAACTATGCGTTTCATACATAGGTGTTGAATTATTCATAGTGTCTTTTTCTAAGATTTAATGATCCGTTTATTGAAAAGTTTTTAAAGAGAATTTTTTTAGACGTTAAAAAATAATTTCACACTTTATTACACCCTAACAATTCCAGCACTAAGTGATGACAAAATTATTTTTGTGTTTATAAATTCACATAATTAGATAAACACGTTTACATGGAAAAAGATAAACAATTGTTTCTATGTTAAAAAATCAACCAGCACATTATTCCCAAATCATTTTAATATAATATAAATAACTTTTTTGATGTGAATTAAAATGAATTGAACTTTTACACGTAGAAACAATCTTAATATTAATCAGTAGCATAACTACAATTTTTACGAGGGAGCATGGAATTAAAGAGATTAGTTTTATTACTTCATAATAAAATTATTTTAGATGACCATTTCTTTGTTCAAACAGTTCCAAGTATAATTTTTAGTAAATAATTCAGTAGTCATTTTAATTTTGAGGGAAGCTGCAGTTTATCACTCCTCCCCTAACTATATCACTGCTACAATATTAAACCATTAATTTTAATATAACAAAAGTATATTTCAGTATATAAATCTGTTGAGTGTTACAAAGGTATATAATATAGTTTTTAGTAGATAATGTGTAACAAAAGTATATAACTCTATGATTTCAGTATATAGGGTGTTACAAAAGTATGTATTTAGTATTTTCTGTATACAGGTTTAACTTTGGTATATGCAAAATAATACTATGTTACATTCTGTATACTGAAAATAAAATGTCATAGACTATTGTTCGATATTTTCAGGGTATTTGTTTATTGTATCCTCTTACTTATGCTTAAGTCATAATTTCTTAACAATTATTATTTACCTATGTGGACTATAGCCCTTGAATACTATAGCCACTATTGGGTGGTATGACCGAATTGGTATCACAGTAGTACCTGAAGCGCTCTATTTCAGTTTCTATACTCAGTGGTGACAATTTCGTATCGCTATTGATGTTTTTGATCGTATAATAAAAGTGACAACACCTACGGTGGCTTTTATGATCCATCATTACCAAAATATTATAAAATATTAAATTTAAGAGCACGATGATCATAGGTTACCCCCGTTTCACTTTAAAATAGAATACTATTGGACTTATATTTATTACTAAATTATATAATATATATTTATTTATTTATTTAAATATTTGAATAAATAAATAAGTTATATTCAGTGCTCGAATTGACAAAAAATAAGTAGGGGAGCTTAACCTAACAATTTGAAAACTGCGTCCCTAGCATTTTGAAAACCTTTTTTTTTTTTTTTACTTATTACTTTATTTAGTATTTATTAATAAATCATATAAATTATAAAACATTATTTTATTACAAAATATTTTAAATTGTAAAATTGATCACAATTTAAATTAAAAAAAAAAAATACGGTCGTATTTTCCACCGTCCCAATAAAAAAAGGTAGTTGGGATGCGAAAAAACATAAAAAAAAAAGTAGAGGAGCTCCGTCCGTATTTGACAATAGATAATTTAAAAGTAAAATATAGTTACAGTGAACTACAAGCATTTACATTACGTAAGAAATAAACCTAAATCTCTAAAATTTAAATTAACTTCTCTCTTCAGATTTAAAAAAAAATTTTATAATGTAATATGAAAATATTTCTTAGATAGGGAAAAATTATCATAAAAATACCCAAGTATTTTTTTGAATTTCTGCCTATGACTACAAGATTTCCATATAAAGTATCAAAAAAATTTTATCACATAGGAATTAACTATTTTAATGAACCCTTTAATCTAAGTGATCATAATTACTCCATTTGTTCGTTAGTTGTTTAACCTGTTGTAATATAATCAATTTGCTACTTTGTCAGTAAGATAACAATAACATGTGACAGATAGTGATATCTAAAAAACATAATAACAAATTTTTTATCATTATTGATGTTAGAGTTAGAATTGTTATATTTTAAGAAAATTTAAATTTCTTATTATATTTGATTATTTAAACATAGCCTAAATACCGGTTATTTGTAACTAAATAATTATTAATTATTTTTATTATTTTATATATTTTTATTACATTATAATAAACTTGCTAGAATTATAAAGATCATTTTTTTCCACAACTTAAAAAAAATGGGAAAAGTTAGACGATACAAAAAAAAAATAGCTAAAGTTAATTTAGCCGAAGAAAAAATAACGCAAGTTACAGAAAAAACGGATTACATGCAATTAGCTGAAGAACTGTTACGCATGAAGAAAGATAATGATAAAATGAGTGTTTGTTCAGTTATGAAAAGTGTTAAATCTAGTAATGGTGAAGAATGCTTAAAACTGAAGAAAGATGCTAAACGATACTTAAAACATGCATTTTTATTAAAGAGTTAGTATTATAAATTAATAGGCTTCATTTTTATTATCAATAATAATTTTTACTTATTTTTAGGGCTTGAAAAAAATCAGAAAGGATTAAAAAAAAATAAGAACAATGATAATGAAGATGATGATAGTTGTGATGATGATAATAGTTTTGGTAATCAAAAAGTTTTAAATTGGCCTACAGGAAATAAGAATGAAATATATATAGCACCAGCAAAAAAACTTCGAAAGGGCCATCAGAAGAAATTAAATGCCCAGATGTTGGTTGATTATTTTTTCTTTCAATTTTTAACCATTTTTTTCATTTATTGTTTTATTTTACAGGGCAAAAGACTTGGTATCATTTTCTAAACAAATTAAAAAGAATGTCAAACATCCAAGACAGAATGCTTTAAATGTTTTAAATAACTGTAACATGTAATGAAATTCTTCAATAAATTTTTTATTAACATGCAATAAAAACCATGAAAGCGTCATTATTTTCCCATGTAATATTTTGACCAAACTTAAAGTTTGAATTATTAATAATACATGTATACTTTTAGAATTACGGTATGACCAAGTTAGTAACCCCCAGTAGTATCAGATGTACACTTTCTTAAGTTTGAAGGTCAATCATGAGTGACTCCATTGTTGAGTATTAGATCATCAATGCAATTCTCAATTTCTCTTTTAAATGACAGATTAAGCATCAGCTCTTGATTAATAAGAAACCTTCTATTTGGAAAGGCCGCAATGACCCCTCATAGGCCATAAAGCTTATAAAAAATCATCAATATGTTTAATTTATAAATTAATTAAATTCTTATTCATATTATTTGATAATAAAATTCTTCTATGACACTTATGAGCTCATTTAAATAATATTTTAAGTATATAGACAAATTATTAACAACAAGTAAAAAATAATCCCACTAAAAGTATTTAACATCAAAGTTGTTTTATTTTTTTTTCATTATGTTTGTATATTTAAAGCACTTATTTGGTTGTCTCGACATAATTAATGTTTACTTTTCTTATTTTATCAGATATTGGAGATATCCAATTTTAAAAAAACTGGTACAAAAGAAAATGCTACTTTTTTCATGACAGTGCACTATTGTCTATATTGAGATTATATCCAATTAAATTGATTCTAAAATATAAAATATTTATTCTCTACTCTTTGGTTTTTTTCTGGTCCTCAAAATTTTTTTTTTAATCTTTAATCTTTAAATATATTAATTGTATCAAAAAGATATGAATCCTTAATATAGATCATTTTATAAAACAAATAATCCACATGTAGAAATTTGTCTTGTTACTGCAAGTAAGTAAATTAATACAAAAATATGCATATAAAATAAAACTTTCTGGTAAAAGTTATCACAAGTTTTGAATTGAAGACTAAGTGCACTTTTTCTTTTACTTATTAAGTTCAATGTGTAAATTTAAACAGAAAAGTTTAGAGAGAACTCATTGAAAATATGAAAAATTTAGTGTAATATATTGAAAAAAAGATTATTGTTAAAAATTCAATCCATAAATACAATTTATAAAATGTTAGGAAAGTTTAGACTTCTTCATAATTAAATTNATTTATAAAATGTTAGGAAAGTTTAGACTTCTTCATAATTAAATTATCAACTCTTATAGTTGATTATTTATGATTTAAGCAACGAATATTATTAATTATATATGTTAACTCACATAGATATACATACAATAACTAATACATTTAAACTGAAACATTATACATATGATTTTATAGTATTGAATGAAGAAGAGTTAATATCATTCAGTTTTAATATATAAAAATAATAACAATAATTTTCTAGGAATAATGATTAAGAATATCAAATATTTTAACTTCATGATTTATTCAAAAATTATTTTTTTTAAATGGTAGACAATCATAGAAAAATTCTGTTATTTAAAAATAAAATAAGGGTATACAAATAATAATTGTTGTAAAAATTCAATTCATTAGTTTCACCAAAATTTCTCCTTTTTTGACGCTATCTCCTTCTTTATGTAAAATATTTTCAACAATTCCATCAATTTGTACTTTAACAATATACTATAAAATTAAAAAACAAATTTTAGATTTTTTATTAGTATTATAACTTATACCAATTATTACAATTTAATTTTAAATTTATTTTGATTAAGATTATTTTATATTTTTAAATAAATGTTTACAAAATACAAATTTGATGCCAATAAATCAGTTAAGGGTTGATCAGTATCCAAAACAGTGCAATTATATTGTATGTTAGTATTTAAATATTAATTAAAAATATTACTTTATTGAATAAGAATTTTTTCTTTTTAATTATGTTTACCGTCTATTCTAAGAGCTATTTCTTTAACCAGAGATGAGTAGAGAACCTATATAGTCCAGGGCAATCAATGTTTTAAACATGGATTGAACATTTTTATTTTTTAAAAGTTTCATTTTATTAACCACAATAATTTATATAGCCTTACAACTACTTTTAAATAAGATATATATAAAAGTGTCAGACCTTCCGGAACATTTTCAAAAGTTAAGTTGAAAAAGTTAATTTTTTGTAAAAAAGTTGTCATTTAAAATCCCCCCCTGTGGGCAAGTAAAGGGTCACATATAAAAAAAAAATATACCAAATGAAAGGTAATGATATCATGCATCTATAAAAAAAAAAATTATATTGAAATGTTCATTTTTGAATAAGTTACGGCAGTTTTTAGTAAAAAAAATGGAAAAAATTTCGAAAATTAGCGATTATTAAATTTGTAATTTTTTTGGAGGTTTCCCCCATTTACGGGGAATGAGGGAAATTTTTTCAATTTTTAAGGGTAATGTCTTCGATTAGATACGATTTGTGATTTTTTGACATATCGTTGAAAGAAATCCGTTCGGTGAGATCTGAGAAAAAGTGGTAACAGAAAAAAAAAAAAAAAAACACATCATAGTAAAACCAATACCTTTTCAGCTTCGCATCGAAGCTAAAATAAAAACGTTTAAAAATTAAATATTAGTAATTATATGAATATTATAAGACATTTCAATTAAATACTTATACTAACTTCCATTTTCATAGCTGATAATACCATAATATGATCACCCTTTTTAACAGCATCACCTAATTTAACACTAACTTTTTGAACCGTAGCTTGTGTAGGAGCAACAATAGATGAATCATTATTAATTTCTTGTTGACCATTATCATTATAATCTTCATTAAAGGGCAGTAATAAAATAAATTCTTCATATCCATTCTAAAAAAAATAAAAAATAATATTTTAATACATTTGAGATATTAACCAAAATTGAAAAATTATTCTAAAATTATATAAGTATTTATACCTCATAAAATAAATAAATTGATTTATCCACAAACGAAACTTTAGATTTACACATTATATCATCTAATACACAAGTTAAATTATTTTTATTGAATTGTGACATATCTAGATTACCAGTAATTATTGATTTGACTTCATTATTTTTATTTTTTAAATTAATTATAAATATAGGATCATTTGATCCAACATTTTCATATTGAATTGAAGCTTCGTATATTTCTAAAATATAATTAGTATTTAATATTATAGTATTTATTAAAAAAATAATAAATTAAATTAATCAATAACCTCCGCTTAAACAGTGTTTCAGTTTGATACTTCTAACTAAATTATGATTAACACGAAAACCTGTTAAGGTTGCAAAAGGTGAACATGGATCATTTTTTTTTATATTTTTACAAATAACTTCATTTTCTTCTTTTAATATTAAAGCAAGAATAACCTATAAAATTTAATTACACAAAATATTAACATCAGTGGCATACTAAAATCAGCTAAAAGGTAGTATTCTTAAAAGAATACTACCGATAAATAATCTAAAATACTAACAAGGGTGTATATTAATGGAAGAAATATGGGCTCTATTCTTATTTTATAGAGCTGTAACCTACATAACAGAACAGCGGTATCAAACACTCATATCTGTAAATAGAGCATGATGCATTCCTCATTAAGCTATGTAAACAATTTTTATTTATGTTTTAATAGCATAATAATTTAAAGGACTATTAATATTTTTGAGATCATATATAGTAGGTGTTTTATCAGGTAATCAGGTGTTTTATCTTAATTTATAACTTAAATTATTTTTAAATAAATTTTACTGATTAAAATTTATAATAAAGTCAGAATTACTTGTAAGACTAATTGTGGTTTGGGGACTTCTCTTGCCAAAAGAACATTTTTGTGTTCTTCAATAAATCCTGTATGTACATTTCCATTTAATAATTCTTTGTGATTACATAATGAAATTAAAAATTGGATATTAGTTGAAAGCCCTGCAATCTATAACACAAATACATGTATGCTAAATTTAAAATGCAAGGAAAATATTTAAATTTAATCCTTACATTAAATTCAGACAAATTACTTTTAAGTTTAGAAAAAGCATCTATTCGATTTTTACTCCAAACAACTAATTTTGCTATCATAGGATCGTAATGCACAGAGACTTCATCTCCTTGTCTCACACCAGTCTCTACTCTAACATCATTTGTAGGAATTGGATAGTTCAAATATTTCAAATTTCCAGCTGCAGGTAAAAAATTATTGTACGGTTCTTCAGCATAAATACGAGCTTGAATTGAATGTCCATTAAATTTTATTTGATTTTGTTTTAAAGGTAATTTAGCTCCCTCAGCAACCTAAGTATACAGTATATTTTATCTTCTAATATAATAATTTATTTAAATAATCACTTTAATTTGCCATTCAACTAAATCTACTCCGGTAATCATTTCAGTAACAGGGTGCTCAACTTGGAGTCTTGTATTCATTTCCATAAAATAAAACATATTAGTTGCATTATCAAAAATAAATTCAACAGTACCAGCTCCTTCATAACCAACTGCTTTTGCTGCACAAACAGCAGTTTCACCTAAATGATTTCTTAAGCTTTCACTAAGACCTGGCTAACAATATAGTTCTTTATGATTACTATTTATTATTAATTATTTATTAATTATTTCTTACTGCTGGAGCTTCTTCTAAAACTTTTTGATGACGTCTTTGTATACTACAATCTCTTTCAAATAAATATACACAATCACCATGTTTGTCAGCAAAAACCTGTACTTCAACATGTCTAGGTTGCTGTATATATTTTTCAATTAACACAGAATCATCACCAAAAGAACTTAATGATTCTCTTTTAGCTGACAGTAAATTTTCAAAAAATTCAGATTCTTTGGATACAATTTTCATTCCCTATTGAACAACAAAAATAATCATTCAGAACTAATACTTATTAATTGATTCTTACCTTACCTCCTCCACCTTTAATAGCTTTAATCATAACAGGGTAACCAATTTTGTTTGCTTCGTTTTGAAGAAAATCAGAACTTTGTTCTTGGCCATGGTATCCTGTGATAATTGGCACACCAGCATTAGACATTATGTCTTTTGATTTGCTGTTATAAAATAAGTAAATTATTTTTTATGATAACCAAATATTTTTAGATGTTTAAAATATTAATTATCTTTTACCTTTTAATACCCATACTTTCAATAGCACTTGGTGGCGGGCCAATAAAAATGAGATCATTATTAAGACAATACTGTGCAAAAGAAGCATTTTCTGATAAAAAACCATAACCTGGATGAATAGCTTGACAATTAGTTTTAATAGCAGCATTAACAATATGATCTTTATGTAAGTAACTTTGTGAACTTTGAGCTGGCCCAACATGGACAGCATGGTCGGCCTATATAAAAAATAAGTTTTAATTTATAGATTACAATGACTAAATTTATAGGATACTTTTTTTCATTAATCAAAGCCGTTCATTCAAACATCATTCTAACAGTAGTTTTTTAAAAATTCTCATTATTTGTTTTTAAAAAGATGAAATTTTATTGTTCATAATAAATTTATCTTTAAAGTTAATTATAAGGTACAAAACAAATGTAAATAGAGTTACCAAAATAAAATAGAATATAAAAAAATCAGAAAAATACCAAATAATTTGATGATTTAACTAAGAATTGTAAAAACATCCTCAAAATAGATATTATCCACAGAAATAGAGAATAAATTATGATAGTATTATAGTTATTAACCTTGAATATAGCAATCATTTAGTTAATTGTTATAGTTAAATTTCAGTTCAAGTTATTTATTTATCTTTTTAAACTTCTTCATCAATAACTTGAAGAAATTCATTATTTTAAGAAAATTAGTTTTTGTAAAAAAATAATTAATAACTAAATATTAATTATAGGTAAATATAGATTTTTCATTTATTCTATATAACTTTATTGTTAATTCAACAAAATAATTAACAAATACATTTAAAAGACTAATATATAAAAGTAAAGATAATTAAATTTCTTACCATGGCCACATGCATAGAATTTTTATCAGCATCACTGTACACAGCAACTGTTTCAATTTGTAAAAGTCTTGCTGTTTTTATAATTCGGCATGCTATCTCTCCTCTATTTGCTATGAGAAGCTTAGAAATACGTTTACTAGGAATGTTTTTCAAACTTTTTAAGCTAAAAAAAAATTGTTAGTATTTTTTTTTATTTTTTGAAATAACCACCAATTATTAAAAAACCTACCTTAATCCCATTTAAAAAATATTTTTAACTTTAAAAAAGAAAAAATCTAAAATAAGCAACTAAACTTTAAATTATGTAAAGATATATTATAAGTAGTATACGTCACCCAACCAATTTTAAACGTAATCAGATTTCCGGTAAACTCGTCTAACGTCAAAGTACATCTATATTTCTATAGATATATAAATATTCTCATTTAGTAAAGAATCACGTGTTGTGCATTTATCATATCTAAATTTGTTCTTATCTCATAAAAATAAATACTTTAACTGATTATCTAACTGGTATTATTATAATTTTTTACAATTTTTCATTATAATGATATATTATTTAAATAAAAATATAAGATAATTACTATGTGTTCTAGTTATGTTATTAGGTACGCTTTTTCTATAGCAAAAGAAAAGTTAGTTGAAAAAATAAGTTATTTAATAACTATTTAAATTATATGAATAAATATATAAAAACATTTTGTCATGCACGAATGAATTAGGCAGTATCTCAAAAAATTTAACTTTGAGATTATGAGGGATTTGGATATATGTATTGCTCTTCTTATAATAACTTTTATAAAAATATCGACAATTTAGATTGAATCGAAATTTAACTACTTATTCATAAACATGCAAGATTTAATGAGAGAATAAATTTTATTATTGATCTCCTGAAAGAATAAACGTGTTATTGCCTTATTCGTTGCACATGTTGAGTTACAGTCGATGTTGAACTTAGTTATTTAATTTGAATAGACCAGAATGCCCTATCCGAAATAGTTAAGAAAATTATTTCTTTTTCTATTGGGAGCATATCATCAACCTTGTAAAATATGTGATTCTCCTAAATGTGGTTCCTTTAAAAATAATTGTTTATATGTTAGTTTTATCAAAAATAAAACTTGATATTAAATAAGTTCTAATTTAAAATTTTTAAATATATATTATTGATTAATTAACATTACAAGAACTTATTATTTTAGTTCTTTTTTTCCCTAAAGTATATAAAAAAAAGGTTGTTAACAACATGAAAATTACAGTAAAAATTGTAGATGAGACACTGGTGGTTTATCACTAATAATTTCTTGACATGGGCGTCATTTGCCACAGTCTAATTTTTTATAAAAACTAAGACCGGTCAATTCGTGCACTCTTGCTGACCGGGCCGTAATTTGAGCAAAGCCATTCCTTGTTAATTGCCAATTTATAATAATCTAAGAAATTAATTTTTATTCAATAAAAAGACATTTTGTATTTCATATTTAATTTTTTTAAGATGCTAAAAAAATATAATTTTCTTAGGAAATTTTATTGAAATTATTTATTATTATCAAAATGATTTTAGAAAAAGTTTTGTCATTATAACAATATTTATATTAAGTATAATATAATTGAATACTTTATGATTGATAAATTGAGAAAAACAAAAAACCCGAAAGAACCAAAATAATAATTTTTATTTTTCGGTTAAATAATTTGTTATAAATGAATCATCCAGTATATTATAAAATACCTAGTAAATTTTTTTGGGCGTACATACATATTCATTTGGAAACCTTAGATTTATAAAATAAAATAAAGCAGCATTTGTATGCAAAGGTCATCAGAAGTGCATCCATTATTTTTTTTAAAGGAACGCAAATATTTTTTTGACGTTAATTTTTCTCAATTTCTCTATTATTCTAAAAACTTTGTTTTCTTTGGTCTTAGTAGGCAACGATAGTTTAAAGAAGGGGTGCATGTCTCCCTCCAGGATTTGGCAATTCTATAGATCGATACCTATTCATGTCAAAAAAAAAAATTAATATGATACCCCTGTCTACATATTATACTATTTAATGATAATACCCTCAATATTTGTACAAAATATCATAACATTTCTATGTCATTATAATGTCATAGATAAAGGGTGTTTTAATAAATTTTCGAAAAACTTCTCAGAATCTACATAGAAGATGTTAACTGAAATGTTAAGTGATGTACTAACGTAACTTTGGAGATTAGCAGTCTAATTAAAGAATTAATCTCTCTGAAAAAAATAGTATATTTATAATATATATTTGATATTTTTATAACTAAAACTGTAAAAACTCAAGACTAGGAATTGTTTAATATAATTTAAGTGAATAGAACTTTTCATATAAGTGTTTTGTAAAAATACAATTCAGTTCAAAGTTGAATATTTTAATTAGCTCAACTGTAGTATTCATCAGTTAAAAAAATTATTTTAAAATAACGTAATACTAATATCATATAAATGATGGTAACACTTATAGTAATACTTATAGTAAGTATTACCAACTTAGGAATCGAGGTAATTACTATACCGTGGTTGTATTTTAAGCAAGTTGTTTACAATCTTGACTGTTGGTAATGATACGTGATTAATGAATACTGATACCGTTTGGAATATTGGCCGTAACTCGTCGAACAGAATTTAGCTGGTATCCAACCAATTTTTAAATTCATTTTCTTGAATTATGTGTATTTAATGTATTATTTTCTAATTCATTACAGAAGTACTGTATAATAGTTTCAATAATTTGTGACCTATGTTCTCGGATATTTCTAGAATTGTACTATATTATTGTCAATAATTATAGTATATATAACTTTCTTCATTATACACTTGGCCCATTGTAAGTAAATAATGTAACTCTATTTAAATAGTCATTATATTGAAAATTGAAAGTAACTGAAAATAATCTTTAACATTTTGTTAGTAATTTCTTGATGATTTTGTTTAAAAAGATAATACGGTTAGATACAGAAAATTACAAATAAATCTTAATTAAAATTTATTCACATAATATCATAAATGAATTTTTAACATTTTTAAATTAATATATCTAGTTAAATTAAAATATCTATTTAATTATTAAATAGTGGTAGTTTTTTAAAAACCTATTAAAATGTATTAATTACTACAAATTTAATAACATTTTATTCGTTTTTTTTAGGTGTTAATTATATAAGATAATTAATATCTTATTAATTAAATGAATCTAGTATTTTCACCAACAATTAGTTATGCAATCAAATTCAAAAATTTTAGGTAAGAAATATAATTATAAATTAAGTTGAAGTATAATATACAAGCTAAATTAGTTTTTACAGTTTTTTTGTATTGTCTATTGTAAGTTTATTTTCCTTTAGTTTATTTTGACAGTTCTGTAAAATGTACAGTATAACTTGACATAATGTAGGGAGCTTGTGTTTTTAATCTGACATGTTACTGATGTTTAGCTGCATTGAAGAATAGCTGTTTCAATAAATGTTATTAATCATATTTATATATTTTTAAGGAAAATTTTAGCCATCATATATTCTTTTTTGGTACATATAAAGTAATGACATAAGCGTGTCTAAAATTTTTTGGCAAGTTGTTTTCAATCGGCTCAACATAAATGACTAAAACACTTAAACCTTTTCTTTTTATTAATTGAGAAATTATATTCTTGGTTGTATAAAATATGTTTAAGGAGAGAAAAGAACATATTTAGCTGTTCACCCATGAATATTTTTATTTTTGCTAAATGCAGAGTCATTAATTTATCATGAATAATTTAATTGATCAAAATATAAAAAGAATATTGAGAATTTTTTGTTTTGTTTCTTTTATGCACATGTTTTTTTCAATTTATGAATCATGAAATATTTTTTATGTCCATCTTTTACACCAGGGATCAGCAATAGAAGGCCCACAATCTATATCTTGCCCTTGGATGGTATGAAATTGACCTTTTAAGTATACTTGGCACTAAACTTTTTTTAATTTTTTATTTCCATTATTGTATTTGTATATCCAGAGAAACAAGTGTGATTGTTCATGCATTATTGTTGTTTGATTTACTTCTCAGTTATCGGAGAGTACAAAGTTTCAAAAAGCTGACTGAGGATAAACAGTAAATTTTTTTTATTAAAGTACCTATTTTTTTATAAATTGAAATTAAATCATATTAAGTTTATATGATGTTTGTTTTTAATTTTAATAAATTTTTATTTATGATTTTTCTAGTACTCAAAAATTTTTTTTCAACTATCTGACTTGTTATCCAAACTAATTGACTATCCTTGCCAACCTTTGAACTAGTAATTCAAAAATTATTGATATTTTTATACTTAATTATGTATGTTGTCATTTTAAAAAATAAAGTTGACACCCTTACAAGGTATATGGGTCAAACATTTAAATACTTAATGATTGATAAATTGAGAAAACAATTTAGAACAATTGAGAAGAAACAAAAACAGAAATTTTCATTATTATTTTTACTTTTTGATTATTTTAAGACCTTATAATAAATGAATCACTGTTCTTAAATTTCACAAATAATGCCAGGGGGTTTCCAGCATTACTCACATATATGTTTATTCCTGGTAATGAGTGCTATATAGGTGTATGGTATTCAAGCATCATTAAAAAATAAAATGTGTAATACACCCCCCATTAAATGTAGGAGAGTTCTGATCTAATTTATATGTTAAGAGTTTGCTGATAACAGCTTCATATATTTATATTCTCATATTTTATTTTTGTCTTAATTTTGATAAATTTTTGAAAACATGTAAATGATTTATTCAATTAACAAAAAGCATCAAATATTACCTTAGTAGAATCTTAAAACTATTTAAGTTGTACTATTTTTTCTTATATATATATATATATTTTAAGGTATTTAAATAGATTTATTATACCTCCTGACAATTGCTTTTAGCTTCGATACAAAGCTGAGAAAGTATTAATTTTACTATGATGTGTTTATTTTTTTTGTGTCTGTTATTATTTTTTCTCAGCTCTCACCGAACTGATTTCTTTCAATGATATGTCAAAAGATCACAAATTGTATCTAGTCGAAGACATTACCCTCAAATATTGTAAAAATTTTCTTCGTTCCCCGTAAATGAGGGAAATCTCCAAAAAAATTACAAATTTAAAAATTGCTAATTTTCAAAAAAAATTTGAATATTTTTAATTAAAACTGCCATAATTTTTTCAAAAATGAACAAATCCAATAAATTTTTTTTTATAGATGTAAATGTCTTTACCGATTGTTTGATATATTTTTTTTATAAATTTGACCCTTTACCTGCCTACAGGGGGGGAAAAATTATAACTTTTTCATAAAATTTAACTTTTTCAATTTAACCTTTAAAAGTCTGATACTTTTATATATATATCTTAAATTAAAGCTAATGTAATGTACTTAATTATGAAAAAAAAAAAATTTCGGACTTTATTTTGTCTTCACGTTGAAAATGGCTACCATTTTTGTGTGAAAATTCTCGATTTTATACTTTACATTTTTTACTTTAAATGCTATAAGNAAAAAAATTTCGGACTTTATTTTGTCTTCACGTTGAAAATGGCTACCAAATGCTATTTTTGTGTGAAAATTCTCGATTTTATACTTTACATTTTTTACTTTAAATGCTATAAGTTTTTTAAAAATGTATGGATCAATACAATTTTTGCATGAGAAGTAGTATTTATATACATCTTTCATTCGACTTATTTTTTTTTTAAATAATATCATTTCGCTTTATATATTTATATATATATTGACACGGTACCGTGTTTCCCTCAGCCGCACATCATGTTATCAACCTAAATGAAAGTGTATCGGGATCTGAATCATAAGTGCATGGTGGCCTAGTGGTAAGGTTTGTCTATACGACGCCTTGGGTCACGGGTTCTAATCCCGTACCGTGCTTCTTTTTTTCACATGATTTCCGTTATACTTTATATAACCGGCCATCAATTCCCGGCGGCCGTGTTAACTGGCGTCCAATGTGGGGCTCGAACCCACGACCCCGAGATTAAGAGTCTCATGCTCTACTGACTGAGCTATCCGGGCTCAGTATTAATATATTCATACATTATATTTTAAAATCAAAGAACTACTAATCTGGATATAAATAAAGAAATAGGATATCATATAGCTTTTGAAGTAATCCACCAATTTTTTAAAATTAAACACTATCTACAGATTTGCATTGAAGCATCTTTTATAATAGTGATTTTAATTACTGTCAAATATCATTACACTTGACCCAACAATGCCACATCACCACTGTGCTGCAATCCCTCTGTGCTGGGTTTTTTTTTATTTTTATATCTGAAATATAATTTAATGTGTTTAAATGTATTATAGTAAATTTTTTACCAATAAATAAGTATTTGTAAATTTATTCATGTTGCTTTCGTTCATTTTCAGGTTAGTTTGAATTGTTTTTACACAATACTGCAATGCCTCCAATACCATTAGAAGGCAATCAGCCAAGCATGAGCAATGGTCTGCCACCAGAAGGATCTTTGTCATTATCAGTTTTGATTGATTTTATAGTACAACGTACTTACCATGAGCTTACTGTTCTTGCAGAATTATTACCACGTAAAGCAGATATGGAGCGCAAAATTGAAATTTATAAATTTGCAAATAGGACGAGACAATTATTTGTTCGTCTTCTGGCACTTGTGAAATGGGCAAATAGCGCTTCAAAAGTCGATAAGTCCACTCAAATAATGGGTTTTTTGGACAAACAGTCATTATTATTTATAGATACTGCTGATATGTTGGCTAGAGTAGCTCGTGAAACAGTTGTATCAGCTCGATTGCCAAATTTTCATATTCCATCTGCTGTTGAAGTATTAACGACTGGGACTTTTTCTAGATTACCTGCTTGTATTCGTGAACGAATTGTACCTCCTGACAAAATTACTCCAGCAGAAAAACGAGAAACTCTCTTACAACTTAATAGAGTTATTCAACATCGATTAGTGTGTAGCAATCTCATCAGTGAAATGAGTTGCAAAAAAGTAGCAAATGGTCGTGTTACATTTCGTGTGGAAAATGAATTCCAAGTGTCTCTTACACTAATGGGAGATAATCCAAACATACCATGGAGGCTTTTAGACATTGAAATATTAGTTGAAGACAAAGAAACTGGTGAAGGTAAACCATTAGTACATCCCTTACAAATCCAGTATATTCATCAAGTAGTGCAAGCTAGATTATTGGAGTGTTGTAGTATTGGTGAAGAACCACTTACTCAAGTTTATATGGTTTTACACTACTTCTGTCAATCTTTACAACTAGAAGTGCTATTTTCACAAACTAGAATATTATGTAAAGATAGATTAGATGGTCATATTCACATAACTGAATACACAGCAGGAAAGTGTATAGTAGTCTCATACTGGAGAGAGTTATCACGAAGTGTATCTGAACAGTTTGGTTACTCATTAACTGTGTATGTAGATGATAAAGAACCAAATAAGTCATTATCAATATCACATTCTCCATCATTAGGTATGAAAGATGCTGAAATCACTGAAAAATCAATTGGCACTGATCAATTATCGATGGAAAGACTCTTAGTGCATACAATTTATGTGAGAACTAAAATTCGTTTATCAGAACTTAAAGTAGAATTAGAAAATATGTTGAAAGATGTAGAATGTAATTTACAAGGTTCACCTGCTATATTATCAGTGGCCATTTTAAATCCTTGCTTACGTGCTGAACAATTACTGGTAACAGTAGACACACATACTGGAATGCTTCAATGTCATGTCCCTGAATTTAATCCACCTTGTATAGTTCAATTACAACAGGCATTGAATAGTGAACACTCTAAAATACCACTTCTAATAAGTGATTTGAGATTTTGGATTACTCAACGTCGTTGTGAAGCAACATTACAACATCTTCCAGCTACAGCATATGAGCGTTTACCTGTATTGCATCATCCTGATCACCCAATGTCAAAAATAAGTCGCCATCGTATGTTTATAAAGTTGCATAAAATATCTAACATGATATTGATTGTTGAGTTCTCTGAAAATGATAAATCTCCTTGTAAAATAGAATATAAATTTTACCTGGCGAATGTTAAAAAGTCATCAATTGAAGATAATCCTAATGATGAAACAATTGAAACAGATATACCTAAAATGTACTTAAAAGTTTTAACTTTGCTAACTATAGAGAAATTTGTTGCTACACATGGACCTTTTACTGCTGTTATCGAAGAGCAACAAGAAAAAATTGATCCTAATAACCGCAAAAGAACTATCATACGTAATGATCAACCACGAAAAATCCCTAAGCATCCTGCTTATTTTATTCCAGAACTTGCTCATATAGTTGCATTATGTGATGAACGATTACCATTTACTGTATTAGCTCAAGAATTAACAAAATGTGGTATTAGTAATCAAGGTGTACAAATTGAAGCCAATGCAACAACATTCGTTTTAAAAATTTTATCTTTACCACCTCCTACTGGTATTGAACCAACTAACTCTAAATGGGTATCACTATGTAAACGTTTGTTGTCTATATCTATCAGAGTCTATGGAAAAGGGACAACTCGTTGTTGGACTGCTGAATATGTATTTTATGGAAGCCCTTTACCTAGTAGACATAGTAAAGAACAAGGAGCTCGTCGACCAGTTTACATAAACTATGATGTTAGTATTGCTGAAAATATTTCTAAAACTGTGGAAACAATATTAAATGACTGGTTTCAGATAGTACATCTATACTTTTTAGTTGAAGATTTATCACCCTATTTACAGTTAGAAAAGAATAACTTAGCGTCTATGATAAGTATCAAAAGTTACAATTATTTAAAACTTATTATTGGTTATGGTACTCATAGACGTTCAACTGCTACGATCCACTGGAACTCTTCAACTAATGGTTTTAGCATAGTATTTGGATCTCTCAACAGCAGTATTAATCCTCACAATTTAATAAAAGAACAATTTGAGGGTTACCTTAATAATAATAAAAAATTATCAATGCTCATTCATGAAATGTTAGATACATTGAATCCACTAAATGCAATTTGTAAATTACCCTCAATCCCACAACTGTGTGTTATACAAGTTCGGCCAACGGTACCAGTTATTACTTTTGGAATTGTGGCTAATTCAACTAATTTAATTAAAGTTATTTATGAAGGACAATATTGTCTAGAAATAACTTTAAGATGGGGTAATTTAGTTAGTGTAAGAGATGGAGCCTACAGTAGATATGATAGAACATCTGTCATATCAGATTATATACCAACTCCTGGCTTAAAAGCATTTTTGTCAAAATATGTAGATGAATCTAGTATGTTCAGAAGGCGATCTCAGTCTGAAGATGACAACCCTCCATCACCTATTACTATGGATAATGTTGATGGAAACTTCTTGAGTAGTTCTTCTCATAGAGGGCCGCAATCACCTGCACAAGGCTTGAGATTCCACCCTCCAGGTAATACACCCCCAGGAAGTAATCCTCACACACCAGCAAGTCCACATCCTGCTGTAAGTGTTACTGGTATATCACAAAATAATCAACAATTTAGCAATAGTCCTGCTACATCTTTTAATTTAGCATCTCCACCATCATTACCATCGGCTATTAATCCATCACCATCAATGCTTCCACATCCTTCACCTGGTTCTAGTTTATTGGCAAGTTCTCCATCAAATCCTCTCCATGTTCCAAGCCCAGCAGGAATGTTATCCAATTCTTCTCCAGGTCCTGGATCAGGTTTTGGATTGAGCTCTAGTACTCATCCACCTGAAGTAAGTCCATTTCCTTCACAGAGTATGACATCACCTGCTGCTTCAAATTGGCCTGGATCACCTGGATTGCCTCGTCTATCTCCAGCTAGAGCCCAAGGGCAATCTCCAGCAAGTCATTCTTTACAAAGTCCAGATCATAAAAGTAGCTTTACACATACATCAAGAGTACTGCCACAGAAATCTTGGGCTGGAGCAGTTCCTACTATTATAACACATGAAGCTTTAAATGCATTATGTACTCCAACAGCTCATCCTCAAGGACTTCCTGCACCTAAACAATGCCCGTTGGAGAGGTTTTTAGGCTGTGTTTATATGAGAAAAAATTTACAGCGTTTTGTTCAGACTGAAGAAAATCTCATAGCACTAAATTGTTCTGAACCTGGTGTTGTAAATTTTAAAGTTGAAACATTGCAATGTCGAATATTTATTAATATGCAACATTTCCAATCATTACATTTAAAAATATCATGTACCCCAGAACAAAAAGATCCATGGACTATGGAAGAACTAAATATTTTGGAAAAATTCTTTGAAACTAAAGTAGCAATACCACCTTGTAAGCCAAATACCTTATTAGGTTTTACTCGTATGTTAAATTGCCCTTATACTGTACTTAAAGATTTTATACAAATAATTAAATTAGAAATGATACCAGGACTTATTCAACAACAACAAATGAAGTGGGCAGTTCAATGGTGTTTACGAATCCCACCTTCAGCAACCCCTATTGTACCTGTTGGTAAAGAAGCTTTACTGATTTGTCGTAATAAAATTTTATTCTTTTTACAAATTACAAGAATTGGTATAACTTATAACGGAAATGAAGTTCCATCATTAGTTTTACCACTTGTGTATGATACTGCTACAAATCTGACTCAATTGGCAGAAAAAAGAGATGGTGGTCCTGCTTCTGCAATATCTGCTGCAAGTTTACATTTAAAAAGATTTGCTGAATTTGCACTTAATCATAACGAATGCTCTATATTTCCAGCTGTTAGAGACCTTATGACAAATTTTGTGCTCCCTTCAGAACCACAACCACAAATGTCTCCTGCCTCTATGAATATGCACCCACAAATGGGTCCAGGTGGTCCAGTACCTTCACCATTAATGGGACAACACATGATGAATCAAAACTCAGGTATTGTCGGACAAAATCCTAGTATGATGGGACAAAATCCTGGCATGGTTGGACAAAATCCAGGTATGGTTGGACAAAATTCAAATATGATTAGCCAAAACCCAAATATTGTTGGACAAAATCCTTGTATGGTTGGACAAAATTCTAATATGATGGCACAAAATCCTAACATTGTTGGACAAAATCCAAATATGATGACCCAAAATCCTAATATGATAGGTCAAAATCCTAATGCAGTTGGACAGAATCCCAATATGGTAGGGCCAAATTCTAACATGGTCGGACAAACTCCTAATATGATTGGGCAAAATCCTAATATGGTAGTTCAAAATCCTAACATGGTTGGTCCCGGACAAAATTATAGTGGTGTTCAAATGTCTAATATGGGACCTCAACATGGAATGATGTCATCTCATCAGTGACATAAAGCTTATTATTAAAAATAGTCATGTATTATGTCAATAATATATTTAACATTAAAATGTAATGGAATTTTAATGTTTTATAATGTATTAGAAATAATAATAATTTAATGTGACAGTTAACATTTTTTAATGTATTATAATGTCTAGTTATAATGTATATGTATGTATTTGTAGATTATGATTTTTATATATAATTATGTATATTATTATGATTTATGATATTAAAGAATCTAGGTTTTTGTATAGCTTTGAAATTTAACTTAATTGATTTATAAATTAAGATAGAAAGTGTTAAATGTTACCTATGAAAAGTTAAAATTTTAAACTGTAAATAGTTATATTTTATAAATTATAAAACATTTGACTTAAGTCATAATAAATGGCAAGTGGTCATATAGTAAATTACTTACTAGTATAATTCTGAGTTTATTTTATTATTTTTCTCTTAAAAATGTACTGTTTTGTATTCTAAATTGTAAGGTTCGTCCACGATATATTTTTGGATATCGAATTGTACTGAATTTCAGCAATATTATATTGCAATATTGAAAAAAAAAATTCACTATCATCTTCTAATAGGGATTTTTATTTTTTTGGGCTCAATAATTTCATTTTACTTTTCAGATTGTGTTTCAATCAGTTGTTGCTGTATATCTTCTAATTCAGAAATTTATTTCTCTAATTCTCCTTATACATTTCTTTGTTTGTATTTTATTAAAATAAAATAAAATAGGAATAACCCTGTCACAATGAAAATAGTCAAGGATAACTTTAACGAAATCGAACTACAGAGGAATCTTATATTACGGAACATCTTAATAATCACTTTTTTTGTTAAAAATTTAACTAAACAAACTGATAAACAAAAAATGGTCTTTTAGGACAAGTATAAGTTAAGTTGATGGGGTGATTACCACCAATATTTTAAATAATTAAACCAAGTAATTAATACTCACAGGTTTAACAATTAAAAATATTTGAAAATGTGATCGATTTTATAATGAGGTTAAATATTAATGAAAATTTAGAAAAAATAGTAAAATAGTTAAAAACGCGTCTCATTTATTTTTTATTTCATTGAACATTATCATAGTTCAATTTTTGTTTTTAACTTTTTCAATTTTAAAATACTTTATTCAAATTATTTAAATTATTATCGACTTTATGGAAAACTGAGTTTTAAGTTTTAAAATGTAGTTCAAGTATTTATAATTATTATACTTAGTGTAAGATTAATATCAGTAAAATATAATGAATATATACAATATTTATACTTTATAAAAGGAACTTTAACACGCTTTAATAAATGTTATTATAGTAGAACAGACAGTTGATGGCGACACCAAACAATCAATGTCAGCTGACACAGAATTAGTAACACGAAAACAAACAAATTTTTATTACCACAACATTGCTGGAAAATTAACGATAAATGTTAAAAAATAATCACATTCTTAAATCGATTACTTTAAAAATGAGCCATCATAATAATTATTTTGCACATTTTATTTATATTAAGTAAACATAATTTTCGTTGAAAATGATCATAATATTATAAAAACAGTTTTAAAAAATATTTTTTTAAGAAAAACTTATTTAAAATGTATTTTCTGGAAAAAGCAATAGAGAAATACTTAATTTATGCTTCATACGCAGAATATTAAATATGTTCTATTAAATACTGGTAGAGTAAAGAAAAAAATTGCATATTTATTATTGGTTACAAATTCCAAGCGACTTTTTTTTGGTATGCTAAGAATCATATTATTTACAAGACGCAACTATAGATGAATGCATTTTTTTTTAATTTCAAAATATTTTCATTTATTACTTCTTGTTCTTTTTGTGCAATGATATTGTTTTTCTATAAATATTTTTAATAATTTTTCGCTTTATTAGGTACATTACTTTGTTTTATCTAAAATAATGATTTGTATTTTTTTCATAAAATATTATTTATGTGTAGTTCACAATAGATTAATAAATAAAAAAATCGGAAAAAATGAGTTGTACTATTAATGTAATAGTAATATTATTCTTTAATGTAGTTTAATATTAACTAGTCAAAAATAAGTTTCATTATAACAAATTATTTATTATCTTATTAATTTTTAAGAGTAAATGATGCAGATATTTTGGGACGATGATTATTAATACATAGTTGCTTTGGCCATTTTCAAATTTTTTAGTATTGATCTATTATTATTGTAGTAATTTTATATTGTGTGTATTTATTTATCAAATTGTATTGGATCTTGTACAGTAATGTAGTCATTTTGCCTATTCCAAATGCCCGGTGATAAAGTAAATTAATGATATATGAAAATCGACTTTGTATTTACTTATATATCTTTCTCAATAGTCAATAATACTATGTATACAACGTAATTTTAAAAAAGGTTAGCAATTGAAAAAACGTATTTTAATAAATAAATAAGTAAAGTTATATTTTTATACATTAGTGGTTCGTGGGTGCTGGTGGTGGGGATGCGACTTTTAAATATAATACCGATAGTCGTAGGTATAAAAAATTGTCAAATTAAATATAATAAAATAAAACATAATACACATATTATTATTTTAAAGGTCGCAGTAGAAAATAATAATAACAGCGATTGCACTATTATAACAACCAATAACGACGATCGTACACGCTGTTAATTCTAAAAATAAATTACCCAATATAGTAATATACTAATATTTGACACTGCCGGTCGTCCAAACACTACTCATTTGTGCACGAGTACCTGCACATATTTCTGGTATCTGAGGGAAACAACTTTAATGTTCGTGCACGACAAATGTATTATAACTATTTTACTATTTATAAATTTGCAATTTTAATAAAAATGTAGAATTAAGAATATACATTTAATTTTCTTCTTGTAAATAATTTTAGTAGGGGGAACGATCGTCCCGTCGTTCAAGCCACGGATCGCCACTGGTTTTGTATTATTGTTAAAAAATCTATATAGATATGCATGTTAGTTGTACATTGAATGTCAAAACCTGAGTTGCAAGAATCTACTAACTGATAACTTATTGTTAGCTAATTAAAATGTTTAATATCTATTACTTTAATATGAATGTATAAATTGTCAGAAAAAATAAATAATTTTAACTAATAAAATTATAGCAGTTGATATTTAAGAAAAATTATATATATTTAACTTTGGCTTTTAGTTTGTTTTTTGGAACAAAATTATTTTATCAATTGTTATATTGCTTTGTATTTCTTTACATTAAGGTTGCAACATTTTACTTGATTACTAAATGGCGTGAATACCACCTTTCCTACAGCCCACAATTTAATGATTTTTTAACACGTAAAATAGTTTTAACGGTGTCCTTTGTGGATGTGCCAAGCCACATTGAAAGAAATGCACATTGTAAACGGTTTATCGGGTCGAAAATATTATCAAAAGCGAATAAAGTTTAAAGTAATCTAGATTGAAGACGTGATAATAGGATGGCCGATACGTCGAGCAACGGGAGAACAATGAAACTGGGTATGGTAGCTAAAGCGGTGACTATGACCATGGGTGAAAAACATCAAACAAATCGTCGCACATACAGAGATATTAAAAACGGTAAGATCAAGTACATATGTATTTTGTAAACCATAAAAGTTGCATAATAATATAAATGAAGTTTTGTAAAATTATGAAAACGTGAAAAGTAGAGTGAAAATTTAGATTAAATTGATTTAGCTATTTAACATGCTAAACTATAAAATAATAACTTAAATAATTTGGTTTTTATGGTGTACATATTTTAATTGAAATAATTAAATTTTTATTTGCTGCTATTTAATTTTAATTGAATAACTAAAAAAATTAATTTAAACAGAATAAATTTATGTTGTTATCAACTTAAGAGACTCGAAAGTTGGGGTAAAGTATAATGGTCGATGGATAACTAAGTGGGAGAGCTCTCAAATGGCAAGTTCAATATCCAATACGACATCAAATTTTTTTAAAAAGTCTCTTTAAGTCAAAAATTGTATTAAATTATATTTAAAAATTAAAAACAATACAATTTTTGTTATGTTTTTTTTATACAACTGTTATAACTTGGTCAACACTGTTAAATTTTATCAATTGTATCATACAAGTTATCAGTATAAAAAAAATAAATTATGTCATGTGTTTTAACTATTGAGTTTCTTTAATTATTAAAATTAAAAGTTTTATCCATTTGAATCCAAAAACATTATGTAATTCTACAAAAGATAGAATAAAAGATAACAAAGTGTTCTTATACTTTAAAAACTAAAAATTTTTCTTCGTCGAAAAAACTTGAAATTTATTTAATTTTAAGGTAATTTTACCATTACGTGAGACTGATAATTTGCTTTAAATTTTGAATTATTAACACTACCCAAATAGTAGTTTAAAAAATAATGTGATAAAAATATTTTTATAGCATTAATATAACATTATACAGTGTTCAGTAAGTAAGGAAACAGTTGATACAAAAAATGAGAACAATAGAAACCCATTTTCTTACTGAACACTCCCTATGTTATAATGACGTTATAAAAATATCATTATAACATTATTAAAAAAAAATGTTATTAGGGCAATGAGTACATTTCANTAATAGAAACCCATTTTCTTACTGAACACTCCCTATGTTATAATGACGTTATAAAAATATCATTATAACATTATTAAAAAAAATGTTATTAGGGCAATGAGTACATTTCTAAACGCTCTGTTATTTCTAGAATTCATTTGAGATATAAAAATAGAATCAGTTGGAATTAATGTTAGTCAATATTATAGATTTATGTTTTATGTGTTATGTGGTGTGATAAATGTGATGCTATCATTAAACAATAGTGAATTCATGTTTTTAGAGTATACTATTTGTACTGTTAGACACTATTTCCTGAGTTAGTTACCATGCGATTGTTATAATTAATAACCAAAGAAATCAATAAAGTTCAATAAAATTTTAATAATATACTACTTGACAACATACTTCAGACGTTATTAGCTAGATGATTAAGTCCGATGTAGTAATAGAGTGCTACAAGTTCCTTATCCTTTTGTAGTTTTGATTATATTTTATATTCAAGTACAACTTTGTAAACAAAATATTACATTTATTTTTTGAAATCATTAAATATCAATTTTGAATTATTTTAAAAACTCTTTATTTCATATTATAAAACTATTATAATGATATAAAAAGCGTACGAATAGAAATGTATTTTTTTAATGTTCAACGTAACAAAATAATCTGACACATTTTACCATTAAACTTTAATAAAAATATTTATTTATTTTATTATTAGTAAATAACTTGACTAAAACTTTCGAAAATTAATTTTAGGATAACTAATTCTGATAGTAATACTGTTTATTGAAGTGTCCCAAATAAAAGATAAAATAGGAAAGTGTTGTAGATGGTCACCCGGATATGTCAATTGCAGTATATTTGTAAAAATATAACTATTATATAAAAATCATTACAATAAAGTCATGGGAACCGAAGTTGAAATATAATATCTTATTTTACACGGTGGTATTAGGTTTGAGAAACTGTTCATATAATTTGAAGTTAAATAATAATATTGTATATATAGACGCACGCAACTAGAGTAATATTTTTTGGCAACTAAATTTTATCATTCTCATAAAATAATTACCAATAATAATATTTATTTTTTAAGATTCATGAAAATTGTGGAGAGATTAATTTTTATACAAAAAAAAAAAAGTGGTAAGCTAATACATATAATCAAATAATAAATTATTATTTATTTTGCTCAAAAATGTACTGAAAAATAGTTTTTATGTCCGTCAATCTTATAATTTATAAAACAAAAATTAGCTAAATATAAATAATGCAATTATGTTGTGGCGTCTCGTCATAAAAAAATATAAATAAACAATGAGTGAACAATTTATGTAATCATTTTTATGCTCTATAATATAATAGAAGTTATTTGGAATTTTTTTCTTTTGTTATTGTTCGTTTTAATCAGTTTTCTTTTATACAAGTCCGATTTTTTTAATAGAATTCTTAAAAATATAATTTTGAATTTCAATGCCTTATGTCTGTCACGTACTTAATCATTCCGTCGGTTTTCATTAAATGTTTTTTCGTTGTGCAGTGGACTTTAAAAATTAATAGTCATTCAAATGGCTTGTATTTTCATTTATTTAAGATACCTTTTTATTATTTATTTGGAACATAGTTGATTTTATTCATTAACATTTCAGAAATCGTCTAGTTCAGTTTTATTTAATTAATATTCATATAATTGCTGTGGTTATGAAAAATAAGTAAATTGTCAGTTGTCCTGTGCGCATACTTAAATAATTGGTATAGATAAACTTGTGTAGAAGCGCGACATTTTTAGTGAAACTCGATATTTTCTCTAAACATAACTTTTCATTTTCCTTATTACTATAAAGCAGTTTTTGTTGTCCAATAATGACGAATTAATAAATATTCTGCTTCATCTCAACTTTTAATTTTTGTTCGAAAAATATTTCTAATAATAATTAATTTAGTAAGTGATTTTACTAAGTGATAAAAATAAAAATGGCCAATATTTGGACAATTGGGGGGCGGCTTGTGGTGCTTAGTCTACTTTTTTTTTAAGGGAATTATATTTACTGTTATTTACAGTTATAGCTGTGATGATCAGAATTTAGTTGGTATTTTAATTTTCAAATAAAGTTTAGTTCGTTGGGGGGTGGGATTACCTACCCACCACTGAGAAGTCTATAACTGGAAGTATGACCGTATTTAAGAGGTAGTTGAGAAGGTAATCCTCTAATATTCTAAAAATAAAAATTAAATTATCATTTATGTATTTTGATTATTTAAAACATTGAAACTTTAAGATTATATGTAAATTACTGTAAAAGTTCTTTTATTATATGCTTTATGTCTGCAAGTTTTCATAAATTATATTTAAAATGTTATTTTACAAAATACATTTACAAAAATGTATTCTTATTTGAATGTCCAAGACATAAAAGCAAGTAGCATTAACCAAAAGTGTAGTCAAATAAATACACTATCAAAGTTCAACAATAAATTTATCTACTAATCGTTTAATCTGCGATATATATGTAAAATAATACATATTTTATTAAAATAAATCAAATAGAGGTTTTAAATTTATATAATTATCGAAGTACACGCATTGCATTTAAGTAAGCAATTAATAAAAATAAAAGATTTGGTGTATGTAAATTTATGTGTATTATAGCCCAATCATAATGTTAATTACATGTTACATCAATAAAATAATGACATTTATTAATAGAAGGACTTATAAATTACTGCTTAATATTAATTATGCATTCTAGGTGTTTCTGTCATAAGATATGACTTATTGCAGTTAAGAGTTCATGAACTCTCAAGGCAAATATTTAAGTACCGAATAATTACAATTACTATATTGTTTCACAAATGTGAAACCTTTTTCGAAGTTCTATTGTTTTCTCAATAATTCCTATTGACAATTAAATACTAGGCAACAATGTTTTTTTTTTTGTAGTATTTGGTAGAAAATCGATTTAATAACTTACTTTTTATTATTTGCTATAGTTATTAATTATTTATTTGTTTCTTTTTCTCGCCACCTTTCCAGACGATTATTCATTTTGACACAACCCTTCATACGTATGCACTGAAAAGTCAACAACTGCTATTTTAATTTATGATTGTGTTCAAGTCGTATATCAATCCAATATTTATAATAATAAATAAACACAATATGTTAGTGCATATGCATAGTAAAATTATTCAACGGAAATTTGTTACCGTTATCATTATTGCTTTTACAATAAACGAGTATCGGAAAATACACAATCGCGTGCACTTGTCTTCGTTAGTACAACTGAAGGTCATTTTAATGAGACTACTAAACCATAATTAATTTTACAGTAACGTGTATAACTTAAAAGTGAAAAAATTATATTATTTTGATCGCGTAAAGGTAATAAGCAAAGTATTACGTTGTTGATCTTAAAACACGATAGACTGCTATGATTTGTTACATGAAATTCAATCCTAAGAAATGATTTAAATATCATTGAATACCATTCACTTCATCATTGTTTAATATGAATAAAACAAATCAATATACTAAGTTTATAGTAGTTGTAATTTTTGAGGCTTTAAAATGATTCCACATCGAGGAAGAAATGTTCATCAACATTCTTACCCATTGGAAAACGTATTTATACTAAATAACGTTGATATCAACATGTATACTATTCAGAGGAGAACAGGTAGTACAAACATTATATTTATATCACAGTTTATTAGAAAGTTTTTAAATATTTATAATAATATTTTATCGTGGGGAAGATTTGACCCTCATTATATCTTTTTAAGCATACATTTGCGTTAAAGTATAACAAGTTTTGAGACAACTTATCATAGGATTTCATCGTAACAATTTCTTTATAATCAAATGATCTAAAATTTTCTGGATGAAACAGTACTATATACTTTATATATCAAATGTTATGTCAAAGATAAATTTTTTGTGTGGGCTCACTATTGACACAAAATAAAAAAACGTGTTCGTTTTATTTACATATAAACGACGAACTCCTACACAGAACATATAATGTTTAATGGTTAAATCTTTTGATTTTATTTACATAAAAATTTTATTTCCGAAATTAAACGAATTAATATAATTCAAAGGTTAATTTTCAACTGATTGCCGTTCATAGCCTACGGGTAGGTTTAAATTATATTTAATATTTGCTGTTCATTAAATTTTCCGTTTGGTATTTGAATATAATTAAGGTTTGACGGAATAATTGAATTTTATACACTTACAGACAAAATAAGTTGTAACTATAAATTTAAACAAACATATATCCTTTGTTATTGTTATTATTATTATATATCATATTGTTATTGACAAAATATAGCTATAACACTTTAAATTATGATGTACAAAATTATAGCGCTAATGAAGTACAAGAACAAGTGACATACGTGCTCTTATTTAATGTCGCTTTTTCATTTTCTAATTGATAAATATTTGTTTAATTTTAATTAAACAGTGTAATAAATAATATTAACTGACTATTTAAATTAATTTCTTGTGTTTTATGGGGTTACCAGTAAAGTATAGCGGCAATAAACCATAAAATACTACTTGAAATTACCTTAAAATGTGTTAGTTATTTTTAATATTCTCTTAAACATTTTTAGTCTATAAAAATGATAATATAAAGTAAGATTTAATCTATTATCCAATGTGAACATTTTAACGTTTTTTTTTATCTTGTTTTGAGAATCAAAGTTTTTCTTAAACAAGAAAAATAATTATACTTATGCCAATTTCAGACAATAGCTTTTAAGCCATAAATTGTTATCAGCTTTACAAGATTTCTTATTTTGTGTACTGCTACGTTTCTTATTTCCTTAATTGGGAGGAGAAATGTCAAACTCGTGTTTTTGTGTTACGTAATCTTATTATTGTAGTAAGAAGGTAGAACACTAATGTATTCATTGTACTGGTTTTTACACAAGAAAGTAATGCTACTCCACAAACTGCTTATATTTTACATTTTTAGTAAAATGTTCAAATTGTCAAATGTGAAAACATTAAAATTTTTTTGACTAATATTAGTCTATGTTGTGATTTTTACTAACATAAATATTTTTTATCAGTGCTTGTGAAAACCTTTTACAGCTATGTAGGTTTAGTAAAGGAAATGTGTACAAATCTAAAAAAATATAATCATACATGATCATTTTTTTTCGTTTTTAACAAATATCTTTGAGTACAATAACAATCACTATTCTTCCAGGATTTTGTAAAAAATACTTAGATCATTTTTAATAGATATTATTTTCAATAATACGTTTACCAAAATTTGACAAGTAAAAATTAACAGCTTGACATATCTTATTTAAACAAACATAATGCTAAAATATTAAATCATGAATTTTATTTTAATCATTAATTCAACTTAAACATTTTAAAGGATAATATATTTTATTTTTCAAATTCATTTGTGTATTTTTTAATTTTTATTATAAAAGACTGCTTGCAAAATATTGAATATACAGTGATAATTTTTATCATGAACTTCGTAATTGAAAATAAAAATTATATTGGAAATCTTTTTTATTGGTTATTTTTTAGTTACATGTTTTTCTCAGTTTATTAATCATGAAATAATTTTTATGTTATATTCCCTTTATTCCTCATAGAAGAGTCAACTTTTTTTTTCAAATGACAACTTACATAATTATTTAGTTTATTTATTAGATAATGATGTAATTAATAAAATGACTGATCAATAACAAATTTTGGACCAGTGTTGCTATCTAAAGCATATCCATAGCTATCAATTATTTAATGTAATGACTAGTGGTGAGGGGCGGGTGCTGCTATTTGTATCACTGACACTTCCTCCCACCTAGATATAAAAAAGTTATTATCGACCAGTAATACACTACATATATATCAAAAATACCAAAATGTTTTAATAAAAATGATGAAAACGTAAATTTTTAAAATAATTTCAAAGTCATCAAATAACTTTTTTAATTATTTGATCAATTACTTGTATAATTTTGGCTGCAAAACTTTAATTCATATGATTTTTTTATTTAGAATAATAACTTTTAATAAGTTGTTATTGTAATTATTATTAATTTTTAATAAACTATGAATTAGGCGAAATTACAAAGTTTAAAGGTTTGCATTGATTTGATTGTTATTACATTTGCCTAATTTGAAGGGATTCCATTCATAAAATCAAGCAAACAAAAAAAATCAGAAAACTTTCTTATAGATAAAATTTGAATAGTTAACTTGTTTTTCAACTGTTAATCGATCTTATAGTAAATTACAACAATGTTAAGCAGTAACTTTTGATTTAATTGCCGATAACATTTATACAGAGTCTATAGTTTTGTGAAGAATAATGATTAAGATTATTAATTTGTACCTTTTGAACCTAACATTAAACAAAATGAGAAACTATAAAAAATAAAAAAAAATAGAAAACACTTAATTTGAAAAAAAACTTTAGTAATTGGTTCTTTGGAAGTTATAACAAACTTTTTACGCCTTTATTGCACGTAAAAAATTACATAATAGATGGGTAAAAAGGCTTAACATTTGTTTTTCTAGAGTTATTACAAAATATATCAACTTTGAACTTCAAGTTTTAATTTTTAATGAGTACCGTTACCAAATAATGTTTTTGTAATAAAAATACTACACCTTTAAACACGCACTTTTTATATTGAGTTTGCAATGTTTTGCATTCTTTTGTCACGATGAGTTTAGCGTTTTATTTAAAACTGAAAATCACCCTTTATAGAATATAAATAATATTTATACTATTACCAGTCATCATTCCAAATTTGTTCATGTCATTGTAGAGTAGTGCAAATGGCTGAAAACGATAAGTTACAATATGATGCTGGTAAGTTGAATTTAAGCTTAATTTAGCTTTAGTTTATTAAGTTTTAGTAAGCTTAATAAATGTCAAGAAATTTTTCTAATTTCCTCCATTCATTAAGTTTTACAAAAACAAACTTAAAAAAAAATTTAAGTAGTCAAAAGTTTAAATGGTTTATTTAAATTAGAGAAGAATACATGATTAATTTATATTTATATCTGTTAAAAGTTCTTTTTTTATATATTTCAATTGAAATCAACCGGTTATGTTTGCAAATGATCCCATTTATTTGTTTACTTTTTACAAAGTAGTTTAAAAAAATGTATTAATGATTTGTTCATTTAATTTATGTTTTTAGACCGGGTCATGTACGCAAGGAATCAACAGTACAAATATAGTAGAGAAGTTGTGACAGGTGGACAACCAATCACTGTCGAACAAGCGAAGGCACGTTGTGTTAATATTGTGCAATAACTTGTTTTTGTACACTCATTCTATTATTATTAATACTATTATTTAAATTTATGACATTTTTGAAATTATCTAAGAAAATAAACATAAATACTTAAAGACACGTCATAAAATAAAAGAAGAATACGGTTTTTCGGATAGTTTATATTTTAATCTAAAGTATATATATTGTCAAAAAATATATAAAAAAAACCCAGTACAATAAAAAAATACCTCAATGCGAATCTGTTAAATTTCACAATAATTTGTATTTGCTAAATTGTAGAAAATTGCTAATTTAATAGCTGATCTCTCATAGTAGAACAATGATAGGATATTTTTTTAAGTATATAATATACCTCATAAGTTTTAGATCATCACGGTAGATGTTAATTTTTTCGAACATTCTAGAATATTTTCAAAAATTAAGTTGAAAAAAATTGTATAAGAGACGTGGCTAGTCTTTATCAAACCAATTTTGTACTTATATTTTTTATTGGATTTTCATAAACAGTATATATGTATACAAAAACGTATTGACCCTAATTTATTCTATTGAAAATTCATTTGGATTATTGTTTAAAAAAAGTTACAGGAATTTTAAAATTCAGAAAATTTGTATTGAAAATGACATTTTTTACAGAAGCATAATTTTGAGATATTTTTTTAAATTTCTAAAATGAAAGGACTTATTTAAATTGTTAACAGTTATAAGTTCAATTAGATTAAAATCGGGTTCTTTTGACACAAAAACTAATAATATCAGTGTAGCAAGAGCTGAGAATTTTCATGGACAGATATAACAAAAACGCACATCATGATAAAAATAATACCTTTATATACTAAAACATATAAAAATGAATACCTCAATAGTAATGAAAGAACAAAAAATCAATTACAGTTATTTAAAACTGTACCTGTAAATTAAATTTATTAAACTATATCAATACTTAAGAACTAACAAATTATACATAATAATTTAAAAAATTAATTTGTAAATTATTTTTACATACAAATTGAAACATTATCGTTGCTATGATAATTATAAATATCAACAAACATATAAACAAACTATTATTTTTAGGCTTTACGATTAACAGTATTTGGAGCTTGTGACACACCTCCAAGGGGTGAGTGGTTTCGTACTGGTTTTGTGTTTCGTGAACCCGAAAAAGAATTATCCTATGGATTACGAGCTCGTAGAAATGGAACCAGAGGATTACTCTCTGCTGTTCAGGGTTATCTACTTAAACATATGTTATTTTCTGGTTGTGGAGACTCGTAAGTATGTCTATGAGAGCAAAAATTTCAATGAGTATGGGATTTTAGTGGTCACAATATTAGAATTTTTTAAATTTATTTAATAAAAAAAATCTTAAATGAAGTATCAAGTATTCAATTGATTTTTTTAAAAATTTATCTTTCAATTCATTTTTTTTTTTAAATAAAGATAGATTAGAAAAAATGAGTAAAATTTTAGAGTTGATTACATGCTTTTTATTGTTTACTATAAATATTAAAAATAGGTCTTCTTACTCATACTTTTGGCAATGTTGCTTCATCCAAGTTCCATACAAAAATTAAAAATTTTTATTTACTTTTACCCATAGGTACTTCATAATAAATCGTTTATAATAATAAATTTATTTAAAACTCATTGTGCAAAATATTTCACCTCGTGTGAATTTTGAACTATGCTATTATTTGTTATCGTCTGTATTGATTCATATATTTTATTTTTGTAATAAATGAAACAAATTTTTATATGATATACAAAAATTAGAAAGATACAATTCGTATCACCTTAAATATTACAATGTTTCTGAATTTTACATTTTAAAATTTGAAATAAGAATTTTTTTTACAATAAACAAAATTATATAATATTAAAACATAATTGTAAACGTTTTCATTAGATATAATTAAACATTTTATTTTCGTTTATATTTTATAGTTGAATATATAAATGTAAAGAATTGGCTTTTTAAAGTGTGATATTTTATTAAATCTTATATAGTCACTATACTCAAACTATGTACAGCAAATGAATTCATTTGTATTGTAATATTCAGTGCAAAAGATATTAGAAATGTTTTAAATATTTACTTTGATGTGCAATGTCTGAGTTTCAAACTTATATTAATTAATCTTTGGTATTTTAGAAATTTAAAACCTTCACGACAACAGCAACTAGATGCTCTTTGTAGATCATTAGCTGATATACTATGGAAAATCGGCGATAACAAACAAGCAGTCATATGTTTACCTCAGGAAAAATGTTATGTATCCCATTCGCTAAACTACTTCCAAGATAATGTAACTGAAAAGGTAAGGAATTTATAAATTCAATACTCAATAATTTATTGTGCTTTCTATTGTATTCAATGAAGTATTACAATACGAACACATGTTTATGTTTGGTACTTAGTATAATAATACTTTTTTATATAATATAATTTTTTATACAATAGTAAGTTTTGCAGCTCTTTTAAACTTAATAGCAAATGTTTTCCTAGAAAAGAGTAGTAAACAATGATCTTATACCTTATAGGATGTTGATCCTTTAAAAAAACTGAATATGACATTAGTGCTGAAATAATAAAATGATGCCACCATTTTTTTAAATAAATAGAAATTAATTTTGATAATATTTATGATTATAATAAAAAATATATTTAATAACACAAAAAATGTATGGTTAAATAATATGATTGCTTAATGTACATAAAATTTTCAAAAAAATTATCTTAACTATTTAAATTTGTCAAAGCGATTGTTATTTAGGTCAATTTTTGTTAATACTTATTAACATAAAAATACTTATTTACAATTTTAAAAATATCAGAATTCAATATAATTTAAGAAATGTAAATTATTTTTAGAATCTTTCAATTTTAATTAAATTTCACTATCTTAAAAACTTTTAGTTCGTTAATAATTTGCATTGGCATTAAAACTATTTTCTTTTTAGCTGCATTTATTTGAGCTGACTAACATCGATGACTTAGAAATTTTCATCAAGAGGTACTTGCATTTGGTAAGATAAATTAATTAAGAATTGATCAAAATGAATTATTTTAAGTTTTCCTGGCAAAATTCTTATTTTGAGAGAACCTGGTATAATTGATATTTATAAATTGTTTTTTTTTACATTTTTGGTGCTAATGTAACACATAAAAATATTAGTTGGTAATATACTAATGAAGATTGTACTATAAATGTTTTTATTTAAATTTAATGAAAATAATCCATTTTGGTACCGTAAATACTCAAGTCTATTTTACGGATATAACTCTTATATTTACTTTTATGACTCATAAAAATAAAGTTAAGTGTAAAGTGAGCAGATTTATATTCTTTGCGACTTAAGTTTGAGAGAATTCGAATACATATAATTTTGATGCAAAATTTTAACAAGTAGTGTAACTTGTTTGTTAGGAGGGCTTTGAAGTTATATTTGTATTAATATCCATAAGTCTAATAAAAATATCTTATGATCGAATTTATATAAAGATAATTGATAGTAATAAAATTGACAAACTTCTCGGTATGCTTTATTGCAATTGATGAGCAAGTCATTTAGTTCCAGCCATACACTAAAATTGAAGGAATCTTGTGCAAAACAAGATTAACTTTATTTTCAAAACTTTTTAGGAAGCTGAAAAACTAGATATTTTCAAGTGCATCTTTACCAATCACTAAGTTAAAAAAACGCTATATTTTTAAAATCATTTATTGTAATTATATTTTTTTGGAGTGTATTCGTCGTTTTAAATCGTAATTTAAAATCTTCAAAATGTAATTTAAAAAAAAAAAAATGAAGTTTTTTAAACTTAAATAAACAGTAATTGAAGGAACAGGGTCCTTCAATTACTGTTTAAATAAATTACACAATGATATTATTTTTAAATAGAAATGTTGTACAATATTTTGCATGTTATATAAAACAATAGTATTCAAAATATTTTTTAAGAGTTATAATTTAAATTGAGTTAAATGAAAGAATATTATAATTTTAAAGTAAATTAAAAATGAATAAATTGTATACTGTTTTATAGTTTCAAGACGATCCAGGCCCAGGATCTTTATTACTTCTATATAGCGCTGCGTTGACAAGAGGATTGTCTAAGTAATTATCTTTTTTACCTTATTTCCATCTAGCTGCAATATTATAGTTTATACATTTTGTTACAGTTAAATAATAGTTAACAATATGAAGGCCAATATTTTATTTCAATTAGAATAATTTTTGAGATTATTGATTTAAAAAAAAAAATTAGCTAAGATTTGGAAAATAAAAATTTGTGATTAATTATATATATTTATTAGACTCAATCAATGATTGAATCTAATATTTTGATTGGCAATCAGAATAAAGATGATGTTAGAAATGTATAAAATTCAATAAATAAAATATTACACAAGACAACATCTAATTTCTTATTTATAATTTTTATATTTTATTTATTAATTCTATATGAAATTCTAATGCTGATTCTGAAACTGGTTTCAGATAATTTTCTATCACATCTAGCATTTGAGATAATTACTTATTAATAATTAAACAATAGTTTCACAATAAAATTACCAAAAAAAACATAACATTTTTTTTTTAACTTTCCTAAAATTATTTTACGATGTTTAATAAGAGTTGTGCAAAATTTGAGGCTGTTCAATCGATTTTTTTTTGGATTTTTAAAGTTAAGGTTAAGGTCTTTTTTTTTTAAAAGCTGAACTTTTGAGTATAATTTTTTTTGGTTTAACTTACAGTTGCGAAACTTAACCAACTTATAGATAATTTTATATGAATTTAAAATATGTTAGCTTCGTATGTTCTGAGTAAAAATGAAGCTATTAAATTCAACTTTCAATAACTAAAAAATCGGTTAAACTTGATAGAACAGTCGGAATTTACAGAAATTCTGTAAAGCTCATAAAAATCACGAATTAATTTTAGGAAAGTTAAAAGAAAAATTATACATTTTTATAACGATTTGACACGGTATCGTATTTCGTCAAGCCGCACATCACGTTATTAACCTTTATGGAAGTGTATCGGGATCTGAATAATAAGTGCACGGTGACCTAGTAATAAAGTTTGTCTTTACGACGTTTTGGGTCGCAGATTCTAATCCCTTTCTATGACTCTTATACTTTTTTATACGATTTCCACTTTCTATGATTGGCCGACAATCCCAGTGTTAGATTTTACTTTGAAATCATTGTAGTAATTCAAAATATAAAGATGGACGTGTACAAAGATTTGTTATTATTGTGATATTAAAATGCAAAAAATAAAAGGCATTTGTAAAGGGGGTTAATGCAGTAAAGCACGAGGAATTGCTATGTACAATTAATTATTAATGATTTCATCGGGGTCGTGGTGCGTGGGTATAAAAAATTATAAGGTTATTATAATAATTTACTACACGAGATTATTGGATTGGTGTATTGACTTAATAAATATGGTTTCTCATTGTTAAATAACTCCCAGTAGCATTTGCTTTAACACAGCCTTGCTACATGGACTTCTTCCTCGAGTGGCGCCGCCATCAGCACGAAAGGTGTGTAACTTAAGTAACGCCGGCAGCAGCACAGTCGTCTCGCTCCAAGGATTTTTTTGTCTTAAGCAGCACCGGTAGTAGCACGAACGTCTTGCTTCTAGCACTTTTAGGATATGTCGGTGTACACCATTTGTTCTCATAATATGATCAAATTAATCAATTGTATATCCATATTTCGATTACTCACATTACCTTATTATTTTAAAACGATTAATACCCTTTTTGTATTTAAAAAATATAACAGGGATTGATAAAATTGACTCACCTTTTCGTTGTATTTATCGAACTCTTATATAAATTGCAGTTAGGAAAAAATAATTTTAACACCGATACAAGAATTACAAATTTCACCAGACATATGGTATCCAGATAGTTTCTTATTCACTTTCCACCGTGCTGTGCTAATTAGCTAACTGATTAAATAACTTCACTACTATGTTCTATACTGTTTTATGCCGTTCTACTTTACCCAATAACTACTGCACTACTGTGCTGATGCACTAAAAAGGGGACTGCTTCCTTAGCTTTTTTACTGTGTATAGTTGATAGATATTTCTCATTTTATGGTACTCTCGAATGCCGCACTGCCTTTTTAGATTGTTTTATTATTATCACTTTATTATTTATTACTCGACAATTATGAGTAGGTTAACTATTACTACATAAATATAAATATATTTAAATAACAAAACATTTTTATAATATAAGTTTAGTACATAATACAATTTTTGTTCATTGTATTTTTCTTATAATTTACATTCAAATATATTAAAAATTATTTAAAAGTAATATGGGTGTATAATAAAACATTATTGCTTAATACTAATTTGTAATTATTTAAAAAACTAGATGTTATAAAAAAAATAAGATGAAAGATTTGAAATTAGAGTAAACATTTCTTATAGAATTTATATATAAATTGTAAACAGTAAAATTTAATTTAGTGCTATCGTTCATTACAATTTCATACGAATAAAAAAAACAGTAAAATTTATTTGTTATTTGTTGTCCCGTGTTATTTCTAACTAATCAATTAATACTTTTATAACAAACTAATTAATATTATTTATTCGATACTGATTGATTAAAAAAGAAATGTCTTCTATTATATAAATAAAAGTGATTCATTTTTGGTTTTATAAAAGTAAATTAGTAATAGACGAACAATGATAAAAAACAATATTTTTGCTCGTCGAATTTTTCAGATGTAATACCACCAAGACTTGTAGCTCTATATCTGTTATTTAATTTAATATGACAAAAAGACCCTTATTTTAGAATTATGTCTGATTTGATGGACGAAAAAACCTATTTAATATCAAATGCCGAAGAAGGTTCCATCTGTATCGTAACTTTGCTCCTGACTGGTAGAGCTACTCCGAATTTACACAACGGCATAATAAATATCGGAGATGAAAATCACTATGTAATTATTTCACACATTATTTTTATATTAAAATTGAAATAGCTTTATTTACATCAAAATTACTTGTAGGCTATACCGCATTATGGCGTATTAGCCAGGAGTGAAGTTGGCTTATTAGTTCACTTTGAAGAAACAGGCACACCATTACAGATTACCCAAATGCCAGGTTCAAGATTAAAAACTCCATCATATCCTATATGGGTTACGTGTACCAAAGGTCATTATGGTATTTTATTCAACACCAATAGGGAATTATTGAGAAATCATTTAGCTGAGAGAAGGTAAGTTTAGTTGGATATAAATCTGTTAGGTAATCCTAATTGATAACTGTATTCCATAATATACTTTAATGATCATACACAGATATACAGTAAGTATGGAAACAGATCAGTTGTATAAACAATGAGAACAATAGAAACCCGTTTCTTTACTTACTGAATACACTCTGTGTATTAATACAGTTAAATAATTTAATATAATAAATACAAATTAATGCGATTGACCCGTTTCCTTACCTTTTTAACACTCTGTATTAATGCAAGTATTTTTGTAAAAAATGACTCAATTTATCAGAATTGCTATTAGCCACTAATATTTTTTTTAAAACGTTTTATAAACCCATTAAGGGACCTTGCGGCCTAGCCCAAAGGAGGAGGTTTCTTAATCAGATTTATTAGTCACTAATACTCACAAATATTTGTTAGTGTAGATAAAAATAAAAATAAACAATAACAATTTTTGGCTATAGATAAATATTTTTTTTAAAGTGTTATTTTTAAATTACATGGTAGAAACAAAATAAAAGCCTCATTACATCAGCTCAGAGGAGAAAAGTGACTGGGTAGTGAGCATTTCAAAATGAAAAATCACTTGGGGTGAGGATCTTAAAAAGTTCTTAAAATTTTTATAAGAACAATAGTATTTCTTTATTAATTTTATGGATATAGTAAACAAAATATTTTCAATTATTTTATTTATAAATTTTATTTGAGCAAAACTGTATATTTTTTTATTTTGAAGCTTTAGATAATTACTTTATATAATTCTCATTACTTGTGAAAATCATATTTAGAGCAATAATAAGTTTATAATTAAGTTCCTACTACGCTTCTGTTTTATCTTAAATATTGTAGTACAAATAAAACTGATAATGACAGTCATGAGTGATAATTGAAATTCCATTGATGTCAAAATTATGAAACTTATTCAATTTACAACATATACACGCTCAAAAACTTTTAAATGTTTGAAAACATCATTTCTGTCTTATATAAGTTTATCTATATGTCAATATATAATTATCCGTGTTGTCAAAATTAGTTTTATATTGAAATATTTTAAAAGCGTCACTATAGTCATGGGTAAATAATAAACTAAAACTGTATACAGCAGAGTGGGAAAAAAATGTTAAAACTTAATAAATTAGTTAACAGCTAATGTTGCTTATGCTTTGTTCATATATAGTGTGATATATTAAGTGTAATATTTTCTACATATTTTCGTAAAATGTGATGCGCAGTTGAAAAAGGATATATACTATAAAACATTGTTTTTAGTAATTTTGCTTTTTCTATATAAATTAGCTTATAACTAGGAAAAGGAAAAATTACAAAAAAAACAATTTGGACATTCGATGTTTTGTAACTAGACGACTTAAATAATAATATTTTTATACAAATTTAGTGATTAAAATTTTGTTTATTTTTATGAACTTCAATAAATATCAAGATTATTGTTAGGCAAAAATATTTCTAAGGTTACATTACAGGAGTAACTTTTGAAAGTAAAACGGGATCCTATTATTTTTATCATTAAACGAAGAATAATTTAAATAAAATTTTGAATGATCAATAACAAATTTTATAATATTATTTTTTGAGATTTCGAAAACGTGAGGAGTAGCCTAGTGTTTGTCGGCGCTCTATTTTTACCATAACGTACATATAATAATTATTTTACGTTGTGCACATTTCTCGCATGTAACTAAAAATTATATTAATTTTTATTTATTTAAGAATTTACTAGAAAAATTGGCAAAATAATATATTATCTATTGTTAAAAATATAAAAATTTAAAAAATATGATTTTCTACTTTTTAGTTCTAAAAAATGATAGTAATAAAAAATTATTGTTTCTACAATAATATCAAAAGCGTCAAGACAAGTATTAATCATTCACAAGCTTATTGCGTTAAGTGATGAGCGTTGTCACCTAAGGAAACTATTGTAACAAATCTAAACACAGATAACTTTTAAGTTTTCAAACTTATAATTTATGAATCTTAAATATTTTAAAGTGGCTCAATGTTTATATTGATAAATAATAAATAAGAAACATACACAAAACAAAGTCCGTAGTTTATATTGAATGAAATAAAAGCAAATTTATGATACTTCATTACATAAACACAATGAACTTATTTGCACATTCACATGGGTGGTCAGTAAATTTCTAACTTTTAATAGAAGTGTTATCTTATTATTATTAGACTGTCATAAATAATCATATTGTTCTATGAACATTGGTATTGAAAATATTTTGTCACTTGAAGTACAGCATATTTCAAATTTACTATCATTTCGCTTTGATTGCATACTTTGTTTTGTACTAATTTAGTATATTCTTATCTCTATAAAAGAGTAGAAAGGGTAATAGTTTTGTAAAATTATTTACTGGAACTATTATTTAAAATGTTTTGTTGTTGGTTTGATAATCTTATATACAGGGTTGTTATGTTTTAAACACTACCTGTTTAAAACATTATACTAAACGTGATTAAAAAACCAAAAATGTCAAAATTTTCATTGAACGTTTTAAATTGTTTATGTTTTAAACAGATTTCTTTTTACATGATTTTAACAATACTGCTTATAAATTAATAAAAAATATTTATTAGTTCAGTTGAACTAATTGTATAGTTAGAAAGTTTTATTTTTTGTCTTTAAACAAATAATCAAAATCAAAAAACCATAAATATTTAATGCTATAGAAATACAAAAATTAATAAGCCACAGAAATGCAAAAATTTGAGAATCCATACAAGTGTAAATTATTGAGAAACAATAGAAATTTGTTTGGTTTCAAATGTTTTTTTAGAGAAATTTTTTTATCATGTGACTATTAAACAAGTAAAAGATGATTTATTTTTCCATCATAAATTTTAAATAAATATTCATTACATCAAATCATTTTTAAGATCAATTAAAATATCCTTAACACATTTATTTTTAGATAATCTGCAGGAGAATATTCCCAAGAAAATTTTCTTAAAAATATTCTTTCGTTACATAACTAGATACATTATATAAAATATTTAACTTTTGCTGATTCGTGAAACATTTAGCAATGAATATTGTTTTGAATATAACTTTAAGTATTGATGTGTTATACCCTAATGACTTCTTGAATACGTTTTATTGTTATAAACTTGTAAATTCATTCGTATAATTTTCCATAAATCATTAATATATATGTGCATGCGTTATATTAGTATTTTATACTATATCATCGTTTGTTATTTGCTGTCTCATAAAATATATAGATTCATAATACACTTACATGTTTCATTATAGTTCAAATAATGATTACGGATGATCGGTATACGTATGGGTTTAGTAAAATAATATATACTACACCCTTGAAAATAACTTATGAGTTTAGCCTTATATTTTGATCTTAATAATACTTGGCTATTTTATATTCTTTACGACCAGGATTATATTTGTGTATTTTTTAGTAAACTAGCTTAAGTTCAATACATTTTTACTGTATACTAAGAGCTTATTTAAAACTTTATATTTATAAAGCAACGATATGCAAATAAATAAAATATATGTAAATACAATGATAAAATGTTTTCCTTTGTTAGAATTTAGCTAAATATCAATTCGTAAATATTAAATAAATAATCCAGAAAAAAGGCATATTTAATTTTATTCAAATCAAAGAATGTATTTTTTCCTTATGACCTATGAAAACTTTGATCAAGAAATGTTCCATAATAGTTATTTCCATACCCGCCCTCACCTCCATTCTTTATTTTAAAATAGATATAACTTCCGAAATAAAGGGTGAAAAGTTGTTACCAACCATTCATTTTCATAAATTAAAATCATTTTATTTTTTAAGCTAGTTAAATATGTATGTTTTCATTAAAAAAATAACGTTTACACCTTTCTAAGGTATTACAAATGTATTAAAAAACTAATTAATAGCTGATAAACCAAGAAATATATGAAACTAAAAAATACCAGAAATAAATTTAGCAAAATTATTATTTAAAGAGAAATCGAGTGGTTAACATTAAAAAAAGTACCTGTATATATTTTCAGAGTAATTTTTTTATCAAAAACTTTTTAATTAATTGAAATCTAATAATATATTGATAGTTTTTTTATTGTTTATTTTAGTTCCCTGTTTTTCTCAATTTATCAATTATAAAGCATTTTTTATGTTCATCTTGCATACTTAAAAGGGTGTTAACTTTAATTTTTCAAACAATAACATATATAATTAACTAGTTTATTTATTAGATAATGGTTTAATTAAGAAAATGACTAGTAAATAACAAAATTTAGACGAATATTTTAGAATTTATTAAAATTTTTATAACTAAGTGGGAGGAAGAGTGAGACTACGTAAATGTAATGATAAAAGTAGGAACATACGCGCCCAGTCATTATTTTAAATTGTTAATAACTATTAATTTTATTTTTTATTAATTATGTTATTTATAATGAAAGAATCACTCTGTATATGCTTACTTTATATGTATTGTATAAAAATATAGTATTTAATGAGCAAAGTTTACGTGATTTATTAATAAAACAAAAAAAGTAAAATAATAAAACAGATTATGCAGTTTTGAAATAAAACGTAGAAAATATTAAAACTATTGTTAATTATCATCTGCATGATTGTAATATGTTCACTTATTTACTTTATTTACTAGTGTCATGAAAATACCTTGGGTGCTAATTTAAATTATCAACTTAAAATGCTCAGTACAAGTTTTGGGCGGATTCGGTGGGCATAAATCATAATATAAAATATTAAACAACGTATTAATAACTTTGTAACAAGTTAAATATTTATAACATTGAGTAATGTGATAAAATGTTGAAAATACCATAATTTCTGTTGGTATAACAAAGTTTTTTATTACCAACAGCAGATCCAATCGATAAAAAAAAACATAAGCATTTCACTATTGTTATACTTTACATTGTACTCTAGATAAGTTTGTATTTCGAAAAATATTCAAAACTTTTAGATTGTATCTAAGTTCGATCCAGACTTTCTATAATAAAATTTTTAGATGATTCTGTCAAACCACAACTCGACTATCAATGTAATAACATGTAGTATTAAGCTATGTATTATCATTTAATTTGAAGACACAGTTTAAAAACTAATTGTTTTTTCTGGTTTCTACATTTGATTTATTAATGATTGTTATTATTTTTTGTGTTCCATTATGGGTTATTGGCAAACCATTATTGGTTTTATTAAATGAAATATATTTATTTTTTAACTGGTCTTAACATGCAGAAATTTTATTTAAATAATAAAAAATTACTGTTCATTTAGCCATGGAAAGTTTTTATGAAAATAAAGTATAAATTGCAATAACAAATTTAATGAAAATGAATGCATTTATAAGGTTTTATCAAATAATACTTATATCAATAGAGTCATGCTATTACACTCTTATATAATATATAAAAACGTACATATATTTATTGTATATATGTATAAATGTATTATATATATAGGTTAGTTTTAATAAAAAGTCAGTTTTAATGTTAAAAAATAAATATATATATTATATTTAAAATAAAAATTATATTTAATATAAATGAAATATTTCATAAAAAAATATTTTTGAATTATATTTAATGATCAACCGTCATTTATTAATTTTCAAGAATATATATATATATATATATAAGAGTATATTTTAACTTACGCTTTAATTTTAAAAAGAGGTATAAAATTTTAAGATTGTGAATAATTATTTTTCTACAGAAATATACAGAAATATCAACTATTTAGATATACTAATTATAATATTTTGTCAAAAATTGAATAATAGAGGACGTTTTTTTATTTTATGGGCTTTTTTTGGTCAAAATACTAAAACCATGATGAGGTCCAGAAAAATGTTTTTTAAAAAATCTCAAACGTTCACAAAACGTCTATTTTAATGTATATAATTGAGTTAAAAGGGTTCTCATTAAAATTTCGATGATTCCAATTTTTTTTGATCCGCCCTATTATATGTGTTTTACATATTATGTAATTCGTATTTCTTATATTATAATTATTAATTTAAATGGCAAACGGTATTTTAGTGTACATAATATTTTAAATATAAATACGCATTATTACTTTCACTAGAATCGGTATTTGTTTCAAATTGACCAATAAATTATATACATAACTTACTGGTAAAATTATTTTCAAAAATTTTAAAAATCGAAATTCTTTATTTTTATTTTGTTTAAACTAAATCTAAGTAATAGAATCTTTGTTTTTATGCTTAAATTTAAAATTGTTATTTATATAAATGTGTTTAGATTTCCCTTGACGTACTATACGTGTAGTGGAATTGAAAATTATGCTACTGTAGATACAAGATCACATCAAAATACTGGTGACAGTAGAATGTCTTATATGAAATCTTCGGACGACGTAAACAGTACCAGTTCACAACATCTACAAATCGAATGTCTTATACACACAAAGTGAGAAAATATGATTTCTTTGTGTAAACTTTATTGTAAAATAATGGATTTCATTTGATCGTATTTTAAAATTTATTCGGTATAAATAATAATTTTTAAAGGTTATAGAAAAATTATAAGGCACAGTCGATTATTTATTAATTTTAACAATTAAAAGTAATAATATTATTTCCTAATTATATATTTAAGAAATTACCTATCGAATGTTTTCAAAAAGAAAACAGAAAATTTTTTTTTCTTTCTAAAATTTAAAATTTTTATTAATTGTGAGAAATGTCTATTTAATCTGGTATTACAACCTATGGGATAGAATAATACATAACTAGTTCACCCCTTGAGTCTTCACAAGTGCCAAAATAGGACAAATAAAATCAATTGTATTTTTTATGCTGGTCAAAATATTTCCCAAGAATTTAGATCAAATTTTTGTTCACATAACTAAGTACTATTTTTTTTTTACTTAATTGGACATTTTTCAAGGTATATAAAAAACATATAATTTCTTAAAGTCAAATTTAGTTATAAAATAAATTTGAAATTCATGTTAAATGTTTTATCTTGGGTCTCTATTTACGAATATATTAATAAATATTTTTTTTATTTATAAAGATTTATATTTCACGTAAAATTAGATCCAAGTAATTCAATTAATTAAAATATTAAAGCGAAATACTACCTCGTATTACTCATTAATTTTTCGTTAAATCGTCACAATACTATATTTATAATTTAATTCTGTGTATTAATGAATTATCTTATGATTTTTTTGTTTAGGTGGGAAGGAGCTTCAGTCCAATGGACGGGTGCAACTAATACAGTGAATTGATTTAAACTACTGTTTATGAATAAAATTTTAATATTAGTACTTTTGGTCACGATTTTATTAGCAGAAACATTTCATAAATTGTAATGAAATTATCAACGAATAATATACAGAATGTTATTTTAACTTGTTAAAGAAAAGGAATCAATTTATTTTTTGTTAATGTCAGGTGAAACGGGACTGCCTAAACCATTGTCAGAAACAAGTAAAATATAATATAATAAATACTGCCGATCATTTGAAAAAATTATTATATTAATTATTTGAGGATTATATATTAAATAACGTGAGTCTTTATTTTAATATTATAATATATTTTTTATTCAAAAATAACAGGTATTAAATTACTTTATTTTGACGCTAAAATTATCATTTTTTAATAACATAAAATACAAACATAATTAAATTACATAAAATACTGCACTTAGTTTCTTGTTTTAAAGACAAATAAATACTTACGGTTATGTTTACAATCAAAATTTTCTAAGTTTAAGTTAAGTATTATTTTGAAAATTTAACAGATTTTTTTTACTATCATTAAATTTGAATTTTGAGAGTTTTTTTTTAAATTAAAATTTGTTAAAAGAAAAAGAAAAATTATTATTAAATAATCAGAAATATATTTCGATCTCTACATACTTCAAAAAATAGCCAACAAATAATTATTTTGTATTGCATTATAAATAAAAATTTCGTTAAATAATAACGCAGTAAAACCGACGAATCTTTGTTTCGTTTTAATATCTGTAACAAATAATATTGATAAATATAGTAAATTGTTGAAATATATCTAATCAATAATCATTTAGTATTTTTTTCTACAACAGTCTTTAGTAAACAATGATCACAATTTAGTCATTAGCTTTAGTGTAAAAAGTAATAATCCGTGCTATAAAAAAAAATTGACACTATCTATATTTAGATAAAGTACTTTGTAATAATGGGTCACTTTCAAATAGGATCTAAAATATGTTACTAGACAAATTATAAGCATCAAAGTTAAAAAATACCTTCGCGCTATTCCAAAAAGAGTCACTAGCGATCGTTTGCCAAGGTTCCTCAGTATTTGATGGTTTTGCGACAATACTTTCTCATCTACGTGTCGCCGAGCTACTTCATACATAAGTTTCTGCCGTAGTACATCAAGTGAATTTACAATTGAAAGGCTAGGTCGTGATCTAGACGATTCACCTACTTGCATTGATGCGCCATTTCTTTTGTAATATAAGTTGTTAAAATCCAACAAATTAGTCTGAAATATAAAATCACAACATTAAAAAACTTTCATCTAAGCATCATTAAAGCTAAATAGAAGAGTTTTAGTTCAGTCCTCTCCATTTATTGAAATACCGAATAAATGTGTTATTAAATATATCAGGTGTTACANCAGTCCTCTCCATTTATTGAAATACCGAATAAATGTGTTAATAAATATATCAGGTGTTAACCTTAAAAAAAATTTGGAATAATTTAAAAAGAACGATTTTTGATCATAAAAAAATTGGTTTTACCTATTAGTAATCATTTTTCATCTTAAAACGCGAAATCTTATTTTAAAAATTATTCCTAAGTAAATATCTCAGGTCAAATTCAAATTTTGAACAATTTCCTGTTAGTTAGGTATACGAGTAAGGAAGTTCATTAAAGATGTTTAAAGACAAACAAGATAAAATTAAATTAAAAGGCGAACAAAGTCTGTTTATGGTGCTTAATTACTGAGATTGACGAAAAATAAGCACGTGTGATTAAAGTCCATTAATCTGAGTTTAAATTGTGATAAAAGAAACCTACACTTTTTTTTGCTTATAGTGACGATGAAAAAAGAGTATACATGAAAAGTTTGGTGAAGAACACTTCGAGTAAAGTAATTACTTATACTAATGAATATAAAAAAAGTGTGTAATAATGCGTTCCAACCTCATCGAAACTTAATACCAGACTATCATTAAGATATTTACTGCAGGTGTAGTCGTTTTGTTTTCTATTCAAAAATATGAAGAAATACATCACAGATTATTCTATAGAGATGAATTTTTTACTTAAATATTTAACTTCTAAGCTATTGACATGTTTTCTGATACTAGTAAAGTTTGGTATACTAACAAAAAAGGGTTTGTCAATAAAGCGCTTAGTTAGTGTATCTGTTGTATCAAACAACATTAAACAAACTTGCGAGAAACTAACGAATTGTGTTTAATCCTTTGGTTACAATAACGTGAAAGTGTGTATCTGTTGTTTCACTTTAAGCATACCCATTTTATGTCAACCAAACAGCTGGATATAGTTAAGTTCACAATTTTAGATGGTATGTATTTACTATATCGACTATTTAAGATTCTCATTGTGGCTTCTATTCTAATACACTGCAATTTATACTAAACTACCAATAAATAAAGTCATAGTAACTGTCTTGAGTAAATGTTGCCCATTAGTCTTAATGTCCTAGTCATCACTTTGAGTTTCACGGCAATACTCTCAAAGGATGTCTGAAACTACTTCGTATATAAGTATATAAGTATCGATTTTCTACACTAAATTATGTTCATATGTTTTTACATATTTTATTTTTTCATAGTAATTATTGTGAAAAAAGAAATATTTCATTATTTATGATGAAACAAGAGAAAAATTGATCAATATTAATCTATGTAGATATATCACGAATTAGAATATTAAACTACCCTAATAAGACACAATTAAATTTATAGGTCAGGATATTAAATTAAAAAAATGCTTATTAATGCGTGAGTTTTAAAATATTAGTAATTTTTATAAAAAAAATAATGAACGTCAATTAAAAATATAATTTAAAATATGAATGTATTTTATTTTAGATTGTAGAAAAATTTACTATGTCAATAAAAATGTAAAATTGTTGTTTACGATTACACTATGTATAATATATTCTTTTGTAAGATAGAAAAAAATTAGTTGAAAATAAAATAAACAGCTTAAGTTATTTGAAACTTCACAACCTAATTTGAACTATAATGCGACTAGACATAATTTATTAAGCTTGACATTGTTTTGAAATTCGGACGATGCCCCTACGCATTATAAGTTTCAGGTTTAGAAAACAAATATGCTTTCATACTGTTTTGTACTATTAGTTTAATTAAATCTTTTATAAACATAATAAAATGAATAATTTCAGTAAACTCAGTAAAATCAAAAAAATAGTAAATAAATTTGTTTTATGACTTTAAAAAGAAATGAAATCATATAATTTAGTACAAAATAATTTTATGGGAAGATAAAAAATTTGTCAAAAAAATAAAGTATCCCTTACAACATTAAAAAAGAAACGCAGATTCACACGTATAAGTCGTCATTGAAGTACTACTAAATTTTATAGGTTTTCGTAATGTGAGGAACATGACCAAGAAGGATTTATTACTATCATCAGCCTGTTAGAGTGCTACCAAATACTAAACATTTAACATACCAAAAATTTTTAAGATCTATTAGGGCTACTACGTGCTACCAATTTAATAAAAAATATTTGTCTAATTGAAATAGCGCTTAATTTTTAATCCGTGTAGACTTTAGAGTAATAAGAGTTGAGTGTGTAAAGTAATTAAAGTGATTACGTTACAATTTAAAATAGATTTTGTTGCATTTTATAATTTTTGTGTTAGTATATATTAAATCCAAAATTGGGCATTAACTATTTAAAAAATTTAATTTTTTAACCTTTCCATTTATAATTGAATGTTTTTCTAATAATTTTTAGCTGAACTAGTTTAATCAACTGTTGAAATAACTTAACTTTATTTGGTGAATTAGATAATAATAATAAAGATAAATTCAAAATTTCATAAAAACTGTTTACTTTTTTACACTGCGTATGTGGTTTAAATAAAAAATATATATATACAATTATTTATCAAAGGAATTTAAGAGCTAAGCCTCTGTAATTGCACTAGTGTTGTTCATAAAAAATTAGAAAACCACAAAAATAATTGTTTTATAATTCATTAACAGTTTTTTTTTTTAATAACTGATGTTATAAGATGGAATAGTATAACCAAAACTAAAAAAACGATGCTAGGTTACAAAATAAATCTTTTTGTTATCACTAATATTTTTCTTCCAATTCCATTTTAAGATTTGGAAAACGATTCACAGCCTCCGGCGATCAATAAAATATTATTTTTAAGCGATTTTGGCTAATAATAAAAGGATCAAAAAGATTAAATAAACTTTTATTAAGCTGAGTTAAATTAAAAAAAATAATAACTTCTAACAGTTAACAAATTTATAATTTGTCAACTTATCGAAATTGTTCCTATTTAACTTAACTTATTTCCATTAAATTGTCTATCTATGGTTAAATCTATTCAAAAAATAATTGTTTACTTTAAAAACAAAATTTATAAAAAAAAAAATTTAATTTTTGAAATTTTTAGCTTAAGTATATAACCCATTTATATTTCTACAATGAAAAAAATAGTAATATTACCTTTTTATGTAACCATAGTGAAGGTCAACATGATTAAGTTTTGCTTACACAACTTTTGAAATTTCTAAAATCCCTCAGGAAAAATTACTTTTTTGCCGCGCAATTCTGAGATAAATATGTTGGTAATGTACTTAGTCAGGGATCAGTAAACTTATTTCTTCATTTCCTGTACCTTTTTAAGTTCACATACTATATTGTTTTAAAATGTTGGCAAAGTATTGTGAGTCGATTTTAAGAGTTCGTTTCTACGCGAAAAACATTCAGATTAGGATACTGACCATAAAGTCACAAGAGATTATTGCCGTTAAATCACATGAAAATAAATATAATTTATCTATCTTATATACGTATTTTATTCTTAAGAACCAAATTTACAAAATTACACGTTTGTATCTTATAATATTTTTATTTTATTAGGTTAATTTTAATAACTAGTTTTAAATAATAACCATTTGATTAATACTTAAAATAAAAATTCAATTTTGATGTTTGTTTAGTTAATCGATTTTAATTTTGATTTTTACAAAAAATTAATGAAATTATAAAAAGTATATAACACTTTGTATACTCACGTCAACAACTTCGGTGTCTTGTTGACTTGGTACAAACCAACGTGTGTTTTGATCTGAAGGTCTGTATATAATAGCACCTTCGCAGCTATGACAGCACCATAATGTAACGGTTACTAAAAACCAGGCGATTGTCAAAAGCTTCACAGTCATTTTAACTTTAACTTTTATATCTAGAATTTGTTTTTTTTTTCAAAACGACCACCCAATGTAAATCTGTAAAACAAAAACAATATGTCATTAATGGGTACAAAATTACTGCAATATTAAAAAATGCAACATACAATGATTTGTTAAGAATAGGATAAATATTTTCTTGGAAACTATTGATAATTTTTAATTTTCGTAAAGAGAAAAATTGTTTGATTTAATAAACTCTACAATATTATAAAGTTTAATATATATTTTAAAAGATTATGAATATAATATTATTATATTATTATTTTTTATTATATTATATTTATTTTAATATATATTGTTTCATCCATACGGAGGTAAAAATTCTTTACTGTAATTTTCTTAAATGGAACCCCCAATTTTGGTTTGTTAACATAATAGAATAATATTAAAAATAATTTTACTCTTATAATTTTTTTATCCGATTGATCGTTCTGTTACAGCCTGTTAAAGTTATGTGATTTTAGACTAATTTCATATTATTAGTGTATTGTTTACCCATCTTACAGAATTCTTATCTTTAATAGTTTATGACTGTCAAAAGACGTATATATTTAATCAATGCAACTAATTATCATACATTGTTGATTGACCATAAAAAATATTTTATTAGCTATTAAAACAAGTCACCTGTCATATGAACACCAAATTAATGATGAATTTTTGTTTTATATCTTATTTTTAAATTATATTAGAATAATCACCGTTGATTGAATAAAAAAAATAAAAACAAAATTGTTTATAATTCTTTTTTTTATCATTTATTTAACTAAAAATAGGTTTTCCCATTTAAGAAAATTAAAGTAAACGGTTTTTATTCTTGAAGCGATAAAAAAAACTAATAGAACTACTATTATAGAACTTATAGAACTAAACAAGTTTTCCCTATAAAAAATGTTTCAATAGTTACCCAGAAAATAAGTATCTAATCCTTAACGAATCTCTCTGTTCTTAAAATTACTAAACATTTAGAAACTTATTTTAAGTGTATAGAACATTAACTCTATACAATTTTTATATTATAAATTTAATATTGAAAAAAAATCTTATTAAGATAGTGATATAAACCATATTTTTTAACAAAATATTTTTATTTTTAATATTTCAAAGTTATTTTTCAAATGCTCTTTTCCCTAGAAAAATCTTCAGTTTGAAAATTTAAAGAAAAAGAATCTATTTGTTGTTGTCTAAAATACACTGACCTCGTGAAAGAATGTTTTTAGAATAAATCAAAGTTCTCGTGTATCATAAGAACATAAATGATTCGCAGCTACACATTGTGCAATATAAATATTTTCATAGAACGTTAGATTTCTAATTACTTATTGTGAATAGTTTATAAACTATAAATTAACTTTAGGTACAATGTTTAAATAATATTTATTGTAATTAATTTTCATCATACACGAATTATTCTTGTATCCGATGTCCAATTTTTTTGTTAACACAGCATTTTCAGGCGGCTTAATTATTTGATTTCTAGTACTAATAACATAATTGTAACGCCGTGTATTGATATATAGTTAGCTAATATTATGTGTCTCATAATAACGAAATAATTTTTTGTAAGTTAAAAGTTAATTAACTGAAAAACGACGACATTGACACTATGAAATCACTCGATATACTGCGAACATACAGTGCACAAAAAGAAATTGTCCGCTGAATGCGATTGAATGAATGATCAATTTTTAATTTAAAGTTATTATTTTGTATACATTTTATCTTGTCATTAAATAAACTTGATGAGATAACAAAAACGTTATCTATGATTACACACCCACTATACTATATTTAGATTTGTATTTTTAATCGAGTTGCCTTTTGTTTCATTAGGTATGAGCATAATAGGCTTTGCGAACTAATAATACAGTTTTCTTTTATAAATGTTATCTTATCATTTCGTCATTAATAATTAAAAATATTTAAAATACAAATAGTGAGTCATATTTTAATAGGGTAGAGCAAATATTGCGGTCGGTTTAAACAAATTTTATGAAAAACATTCATTTCTTCATTGCATTTTCACTGCAATAAACGAATTAGCTATGAATTGTGTACAGACTCTATTTGCATAAAGGTAATGTTCAAATCGTTGTAATGACTGATTTTGTTCTCATTACATTATTTATTTAAGGGACAGCACATTTGTATAGTTATGTTAGTTCGAGCAGATTTAGAAACAAAAAATGACAGCCAGAAAAATATGTAACTTCGTGCTTTCAAAGTATATGTGAATAAATTAAATAAAATTATAAAATGTTAAAAAAATCTCGGAATAGATAAGATTTTATCTTTTCTCTGATATGACTTCAAAATAAACATACATTTTACATTTTTGCTTCGCATAGAAGTGTTTGACATCTGATAGACATCGCATAGGGGTGACGTATAAAAGAAAACATTTTCAAAATTTCGCATTTACTAACTAACTAAATTGGGCGATTAATGCCCCAGTGTTACTTTGGAGATGTCTTTGAGAATTTCACATGTATAAGAATTGTGGTTATGAGATAACTTGATGACGTACATGTGTTCACAGAGTATTTATTAAATGTACAAAATTTACAGTAAGCTATGTAAAATTTACGAACTTGAAGTGAATAATAAATTTCATAAAAATATTTAAACGTTTTCGTACATTTCTGAATTATATAGATGCGCTTAATTTTAGAATTTAAGAGTTATTAGATACATGCAAAGCACGTATCCGTTTCTGTGTTAATCAAAATGAGATACAAAATAAGTAAATGACAAATAAATTCTAAATACCTTTTTTAGTCTGAATTTCCCTCGAGACCCTTACAATCTCAAATATTTTTATACTATTTTTTATTAACATTAATAAAGTGTATCAAATTAGCAATGAATATTAGAAAAAAATTCAGATTCTTAGTGTAGTAAAATTATAGTTATTATCTAATTTATAACAATCTATCTATATCTTTGATTTAAAATATTATTTTTTATAGTTTGAGTCATCCAACTGGAAAATGATCTATGCCTAACATAACTTTTTTTTCAACTTTGCTTTTTCCTATCTATTTATAAGTTCATTCATCAAAAAAGCAAACTAACAAAATTAAAATTTTTTGGACATACATCTATTTTGACTATTATTTTATAAACATGCAAATATCATTTTTGAGTTCACATTTTACTCTACCTCTCAATGTATGGTAACTAACGTACATTGAACCACTGTAAAAATTTAACTTATTTTTACCTGATTATAAATTTTTGTATACGATACTATCTTTGTCTCTTAGGCATATTAAGCAATTTTCCATGAGGATGGGGTCCAAATAAATTTCAGAACGTTAGATTTGTGGCGAAATTCGTCGTTCCACACATATTACATATATAATTTTTTGTTAGTAGAAATTGTCTGGTACCCCCGAAAATGTTCGAGGTAAACACATCAAATGAAATTGAAATTCAATTAATAGTCTTGTAAGAAAAATACATGATGACGCACTTTATTATTTTCTTGTTATAATATAGGAAGAATTAAACGATGTAAAATGTTTGGCAGGACGAATAATAGAAAGTTCTCGCAATGAAAACGTCTAGTGTATGAAGCACTTGATTGGACACGGTAATAATTTCTCACTAACTGAGAACGGCACTGTAAACAGACTTTTCACCATTTTTCATAACTCTCAATGTGATAAAAAAAACCAATAAAATTTTAAGTTTTATTATACTATTAAAATATTATTTAACATAGTTAAAAATAAATTTATAATAACCATTTATATATAGAAAAATTTATATTTTATTTAATAAAATTAATTATTAATTAAGAATTTTCAATATTATTTTTTTGTGTCTTCTGAAGTTTAAAGTTTTACAAGTGACGATCAACATTCCAATATGTCAAGAACAAAAATAAACTAACATAATATAATAAACTGATCATATTACAATAAGATGAGTGTTTTATTTTTATAACACGAGAACAAGAAAAATAGTTCTAAATTACTTTTGGTATACGCATCAAACTACCAAAAGGTACCTATATAGTTTAAGTACCAATATACATGTACCGCATTGGAGACGTATCATAAAGAGAAAGTAAGAAATACATTTTCCTTTTTGAATGTTCGTGTAAAGTCGACTCTACTGTATAAACTCTTATTTATTTATTTTTTTACATTGAACTTTTATTAACAATTAAATTATCTTGAAATTACTCAGAAGAAATGACGAATTAAATATAAATCAATGTGTTATTTGAAAAAAAGTACATACTAATAACAATAATGTTATTCTTTTTAATCCAATTAATCAAAAAGATCTTATGTTTTAAATATAAACATAAGATGTATAGTTTATTTATCTTCAAAACTCAATAAATTTCCATTTTGAATTCACTTAGTGTTTTGTGTTATGTGAGTTTTAAATGAATTAAATTGTTTATTCTAAATCGTTTTTTTCAATAATATTTGTACCTCACGGGTTTTATTCTTCTAGTAAATACGGATGTATTACGATAACTCTATTTTATTATTATTTACTTTACATTTTATCCATGAATATTGAGGAATGTAATAACAAATATTTAGCTTCATTTTCTCAATCAAACAGACACTTCTATTTATTAGTTAGCTTTTTTGAAATAAAATTAAAGTTTTTTTTCATTTTAAAGGCTCTTGACTTTCTTCTTTAATATAGAAGAAGAAAACATTTATGCTAATTCTTATAATTCATTTAGAGTAAGATATTGCACGTCGTAAATAGCAATAATAGGATTTAAAAACATATCATTTAGTATGATAAGTTATCTCATTTGAAAAATGTAAATTGTCGTTACACTGATAAAATAAATTATAATTTGATCAAAATTTTTAATTTTGTACTTCAGAAAAAAGTACGTAAGTAAGTATTTTTTTTTTAAGTTTTTACCTGTTTATTTATTTATTTATTAAAAACTATATTAATATTATTTATACAAATCTTTTGTTAAATATTTGCTTTAAATATTGTATTATTTTACCCTGATAATTTTTTTATTATACTAATGCGGTTACATTTTATGCCAATGTCTTAGTTTGGTCAATAACACCTAACAGTTAGTTCAGCATTATATTTTAAATGTAAATATACAAAAATTCGCTGATGACGTTTTTAAAAAATATCGTTAGATAAGTTGCGGTGTGACAAGCATTTGGTGCTGATAGAAAGTTTATATTCAAACCAAAAAATAGTTATTTTGACAAATGGAAAAATATCTGAAGAATTACAGATTTAAATATGAGTCCAACAGGTTGTATTCTTACACCAAGCCTGTTTAATGCATATTCAGAAAATATGATGAATAAAGCGCATTTGGAATCTATAAAAATGGCGTGAGCATAGGCGTATGTTACATAAAAGCAATTAAATTTACAGATGGTCAAGCATACTTTTTGGATCGGCAAAGTACTCTAAGAAATGACAAGTAAAATACACTGTACATCAAAAGAATATAAAATTAAAATAAATAACAAATACAATAGCAATTGCATAAACAAGGAAACGAGCAGACATTTTAGTAGATTGATATTTGATAGAACAGGTGAACCATTTCTGTTACTTAGGTCAAAATATCACAGATAATGCAAGATTCAACCCGAAATTTAGAAAAAACATAGACAATGATTGCATTTTACAAAATAAAAAACAGATCCTTTTATCAAAAAAAATAAATATTACACTGAGAATAAGGATACTGAAGACATAAATATTTCAATAGCATTATATGCAGTGGAGACATGGACATACAATAAAAATGAAAAGGAAGTAACAAAAATATTTGTGAATGTAGTGCTACGGACATATGTAAAAAATTAACTAGGTAAATCGAGTCACAAATAATCAGATGCTATGACAAGTAAATTTCAATATTCAAAATAGCAACTTTTGCGTGAAAATTTACTTTATTCGTATTTCGAAAGTATTCTGAGCTTCAACTATAGATAAATCAAAGTTTATGTTACATAAAATAAGTTTAAAATAATAATTTGTCCAGACGACTTGTATTTTAAATATGTTAACGGCTTCCAAAGTTAGAAAAAAAAATGTTTTTAAAAAATTACAGTTTTTCGTGTGATTATAATTTTTTATTTTAAATTTTTTTCAATTATTTATGCCTATATTTTAGGTTAAACTATATGGTTATATAAGAGGGAGGATCATTTCATACACCTATTTACAAAAAAATAATTGAAAAAGATTTAAATGTTAGTTTTAAAGATTTTCTAATAGGAATTGCAGCAGCTTTTATACTATATGAATATTAAAAAGACAACGCCATTCCTTTCCAAAAAAAAAAATTATAATTTCATAATTAAATTTATAAAAACTAACGAGGCAAGGTATGCTTGAGTAGGAATATAATAAAATTTCAATAAGGCCCTCGATTTGTTTAAGAGTTTTAAGTAAAACATGAGTAGGGATGTTTTTGTCAAAAATGGAAATGATTTGTACGAGATCCTTTTTTTTTTTGAGAAGTGATTCTTTTAAAATTTTTAATGTTTCAATTTTGAAAAGCATTTGCCATGGAATTAGCAAAATATTCAACTAATTCATATTTTTTTTTAATTTTTCAGTGAAAATTGCAATAAAAAATACTGAATACTAAATTTCGTACTAAATTTAACTCTTATAATATGTATTATTCATATAATATGCTCATTAATCATAAAACTAATAATCAGGATATAATTTAAAAAAATAGGAGTTAATGATACTTTCGAAGAATCCGACAATTCTTTCTAAAAATTAATCACTATTTACAAATTTGCATTGAAGCATTTTTTATGATAGTTTTTTTTTAATTACTATGAGATATACTTATCCCCACTAGGCTGCGACTTCATTGTGCTGGGCTTTTTAATTTTTTTTAATCTAAAAGTATCATAACTGTATGTAGTCTGTTACTATAACAGTAACAGACATCATATATATTTTACAACTAATAACATATAAGGAAGTTAGCATTTTTATACAATATCTGTCTGTTCAAATAATACGTATTTGATTTAATCTTCAATCATGTGTTAATATCTATACGTATTATAGAATTACCTCTTATTTTAAGCAAAATATTGACTTTTCACAAAAACTAATCACAATAAAAATAAATATATACGTAATAATAAGATTCATATTACAAATAGTTTACTGAAGGGTTAGTTTATCATTTCTTCTTAAATTAAATTATAAAGAAGGGTCAAATAGCAAATAATAAACAACAAATTTGTGATTTAATCTGCTTGAATTTATAAAGAATAACACTTACATTTAAAATGGATTAATAAATTATATTATAATAAAAGATATATACAATGAAATCACTTAATTTTTAGTTACATAGACAATCTGTAATAGATTTCATTGTATAATAAAAAGTATGAGTATTTAAGATAAACTTTCTTATACAATTAAAGTCAAATACTTGATTAATTTAAATACAATTTTCAACAAAATATATAAAAATGAAACACAAGTATCATTTTTTAATTAACTTTAATATTTATAAAGAGAAATAACCATTTAAGAGACGTAAGATAGTATCAAAGTTTTATTACAATGTAGTTGATGAAAAATAACAATGTAACACATTTAAGAAACTTTATTTTAGTATTTTTCAATAAATTACCATCGTAAATTATAAATCATTATAACGAAACATAAAATTATGCTATGATAGCTGTAATTTAAAAGAATCATTATTCAAAATAATCTTGATAAATTTATATTTTCCTTCTAACCTACTTGATTCTTAAAAGAATTTCCTGCTCAAGTAAAAATGTAATAACTCAACGTAAGCACAACCAAACGAAACAAAAGATAGATTAGAACTCAAATATACTTCTGACTAATTTTCGCGAATTGATTCTAATTTTATTCGTACATTTACTGTTTAATTGTGGTTGTTAAACGACAGTAAATACTAATTAATTCACCCCTTAATTCTCATTTGTAGAAAGCGCGAAAATACATCATAGATGGTTTCTTTTTATTTACAATTTTTTTAACATATGTTTACTAATTTATATTAATTCTGACTTATATAAAGATAATTAATCATGTAAAAAAATTATATTAGCTAACTGATGTGTTTATACAAATAAATTAAATTATTAAATAATAGTAATTAGTTTTTCTGATAAAGTAATACATTAGTAATCAAATCCTTTAAATTTTAGTTAAAAATAACTACATACGTTTATAAATATAAAAAAATAACATTTTTAAAATTAAAACTTTGTTACATAATTTAATTAGAAGAAAGCAGTCATTATTTTTTGTAAGTGTAGGCCCGTAATAAAATAAATTGTGTTAACAATAAGTGAACATAAAATAACGAAGTCATTTTACTTTTTTACTGGTTTAATGCAAACAATAGAAATATTTGAGCTTTAAAAAACATTTTTCACTAAGAAAAATATCTAAAACTACATGGGTGATATACATTTTTAATACGCTACAAATTTATTGTTTCACACCGATTACCTATTTTAAATTTACAATTGAATATTATTATTTTTAATTAATGTGAAGAAAATATATGATATGTTTTATAATTTAATAAATAACTTCACCTGGTATACGGTATAATATATATATATATATATATATAGAGTCACAGGCCTAACTGACAACGCTTATAACTTTTGATACAATTATTATTTTGTTGAAATTTTTGTTTTTGTCATTATTGCCATTTCAAACTTTATTTAAAGCTCATTTTTCATTATAAAACTATAATGAGTCGATGACAATTTTAAGACATGTACTCAAAGAGTTACAAGCTTTTTAATACATAGAGTGTATATGTATTGCGAGTGGGTAGAGCTAATTTTATAATGCATTCTCCAACGAGTTCTATACCCATTATATGTATTAAAAATGTTTGTAACTCAATAATTAATAGTCTTAAAATTGTTTTAACCCATCAAAGTGTTTTGTAAAAAAAAAGAATAAAAAATGGATTTTTGAAATAAAAAAAAATACTATAAATAAGTGTCTGAGACACTCTGTAAATTATAGCACAATATAGTCTATATTTAAATTTAATGTTTGCATTTATAAATACTCTAATAAATACTCAATTTCAAATAATTCGCAATTCTTTTACGGTTAATATACATTTTTTAAGTCATTATATTCGATATATAATACCATTAAAATTTTATTTAATTTTACTAATTATTTTTTTTATGGAATATGAATGATTTAAAGAATTATATTGAAATACTTTGTTTTTTTTACTTAATATCTACAGTGATCGGAGAACAAGTAAGAATAATTTCGTTAAACTTAAGATCTGAACCATATTCAATAATTTGAAATAAACAAATATATATTCAAAGTATATATTCATTGTCAAAGTATATAACCTTTTGACTATGTGTAAAAAATTATACCATGTGAATTAAAAATAATAAAAACATTATTGTCACAAGGTGGTCTAGAATCCAAAAAACACGATCGATATTCATTTTTTTAGACCAATACTAGATGCCTAATTTTAGCTTCGATGTGAAGCTGAGAAGGTATTGGTTTTACTAAGATGTATTTATTTATTTTTATTTTTTGTGTCTGTTACCACTTTTTCTCAGCTCTCACCGAACCGATTTCTTTCAATGATACGTCAAAAGATCACAAATCGTATCTAGTCAAAGACATTACCCTTAAAAATTGAAAAAAATTCCCTCGTTCCCCGTAAATGGGGGAAACCTCCAAAAAAATTACAAATTTAAAAATCGCTAATTTTCGAAATTTTTTCAATTTTTTTTACTAAAAACTGCCGTAACTTTTTCAAAAATGAACATATCAATATAATTTTTTTTTATATAGATGCTTGATGTCTTTACCTATCATTTGGTATATTTTTTTTGTAAATCTGACACTTAACCTGCCCACAGGGGGGGATTTAAAATGACAACTTTTTCACAAAAAATTAACTTTTTCAACTTAACTTTTGAAAATGTTCCGGAAGGTCTGACACTTTTATATATATCTTAAATTAAAGCTAATGTAATATACTTTAATTTGAAAAAAAAAAATTTGACCTCTGGACTTGTCTTCGTGGTGAAAGTTGACATCAAAGTTAATAAAAAATTACGATTTTTGTAAAATAATTTTTTTTTATATTTTTAACTTAATAATGCTCTAACTTTTTCAAAAATGAACATATCAATATAATTTTTTTTTATATAGATGCTTGATGTCTTTACTTATCATTTGGTATATTTTTTTTGTAAATCTGACACTTAACCTGCCCACAGGGGGGGATTTAAAATGACAACTTTTTCACAAAAAATTAACTTTTTCAACTTAACTTTTGAAAATGTTCCGGAAGGTCTGACACTTTTATATATATCTTAAATTAAAGCTTATGTAATATACTTTAATTTGAAAAAAAAAAATTTGACCTCTGGACTTGTCTTCGTGGTGAAAGTTGACATCAAAGTTAATAAAAAATTACGATTTTTGTAAAATAATTTTTTTTTATATTTTTAACTTAATAATGCTCTAACTTTTTCAAAAATGAACATATCAATATAATTTTTTTTTATATAGATGCTTGATGTCTTTACTTATCATTTGGTATATTTTTTTTGTAAATCTGACACTTAACCTGCCCACAGGGGGGGATTTAAAATGACAACTTTTTCACAAAAAATTAACTTTTTCAACTTAACTTTTGAAAATGTTCCGGAAGGTCTGACACTTTTATATATATCTTAAATTAAAGCTAATGTAATATACTTTAATTTGAAAAAAAAAAATTTGACCTCTGGACTTGTCTTCACGGCGAAAATGGCTACCGAATGCTATTTTCGTGTGAAAATTCTCGATTTTATTATTTATATTATATTTAACTTTATAATGCTATAACTTATTGAAAAGTTTATGGATCCACACAATTTTTTTATGAGAAATAATATTTTTTAATAAACCCTTTTTCATTCGACATACTTTATCTTAATCGAGATATTAATAAGGAACCAGCAGATCAAGTAGCTTTTGGAATAAAACACCAATTTTTTTAAAATTAAACACTATCTAAAGATTTGCATCGAAGCGTTTATTTTTGATAGTGATTTTAATCACTGTCAGATATCATTATACTTGATCCAACTATACCACGTCACAACTGTGCCGCGACCCCCCTGTGCTGGGTTTTTTTGTATTGAAACCTTAGATATTTCCCTTTAACTTGATATAATTTTTTTTGAAAATCTAACACTTAACCTGCTCATTGGGGGAGATTTAAATAAAAAAAAAAATTTGTCCCGACATCTTATCTTCTATGTGCAAATGGCTGTCGAAAATTAAAAAAAAATGCTATGTTTGCGATAAAAATCATCTTTTATCGGGATGTTTTTTGTACTTAAAACTGCCATAACTTTTTTACTTTAAATTGCTATAACTTATTGAAAAGTGTAATAATATTTTTTAATAATCCCTTTTTCATTCGACATACTTTATCTTAATCAAGATATTAATAAGGAACTAGCAGATCATGTAGCTTTTGGAATAATACTCCAATTTTTTTTAAATTAAACACAATCTAAAGATTTGCATCAAAGCGTTTATTTTTGATAGTGATTTTAATCACTGTCAGATTTCATTATTCTTGATTCAATTATACCACGGCACCGCTGTGCCGCGACCCCCCTGTGCTGGGTTTTTTTTTTTTAGTTATTGACTTATTAATTTGAATTAATATTGTTAACATCGATTTATATTTGTTTTATTAAATTTTAGGTTCAAGTAGTGTATCCTTTTAATTTAATTTCGTGGTCAAATACAACACAAGTTTTTAAATTTGAAGTGCTAAATATAGATCATTATTTTCAACCAGTTGATATAGAATGGCAACAAAAAAAATGTCAAAATTTTAAAAAGCGTATTGTACAAACTTCAAGCGTATTGTCAAATGTTTCAAAAGAACTGACTGTTCCAATACCAAAAATTAAGAGTACGATCACTGAAGACAGAAACAGTTTTTACAGAGCTTTATCTTTTTGTATATTTGGTTTGGAAGATCACCATTTAGAATTACGGGAATATATAGCTGATGTAATAATAACTAATTAAAACTTTGATTACCATGATTATCTTTTTTTTTTTTAATGTTTAACTGAACTAGAGTGTAAAAGGATAATTTTTTTTTTTTTTTTTTAATAGCTTTTATTAAAATAATATTTAGCTCAACAATTATAAATAAAGAAAAAAAAAAGTGAATTAGAAGTATAACAGTAACAATACTACGTTATAATGGTATAACAAATATGACAATAATTGTTAGTATACTCAAAAATAAAGAAAAAATTAAATATTATTAAAATTATTGTTAATAGAGATTTAAAAGTACAACTAAAAGAATTATTAAATTAAAATTTTTATTTGAAATAATGGAGGATGAGAGAAAGTAAATAAATAAGTAAATAGAAGAATATAAAATAAAATAATGAGAGATTAAATGACAAAGCCGGAACTCCTCAAGAAAGATATGATTGAAATAATAATAAAGGAATTAAGAATGGGAATTAAGAGTATTAGCTAAGGAAGGGGGATTGATATTGTGGGAGGCTAAGAGGCTGAATAGTTTATTTCTGCTGTTAATTAGGGCAGGACAATCAAAGAGAAGATGAGAAAAATCGCATAGAGCTTCATTATCATGTAGGGGACAGAAGGGAATGGAATTTAAGGAAAGATGAAATGCATGGTAAGGCAGAAGATATGACCTAACCTAAGTCTTGAGTACTGAGAAATTATATTTCTGGATAAGTCAAGATTATGAAACCATGGAGAATGTATAATGGATGGAGAAATCGAGTGGTACCAACATACCGTTTTCAATTTTATTGTAGCCCAACTGTCCTGCCAGGCTTGAAGAACTGTATCTCGAAAGAGGCGGAGAAAGTCAGAAGCGGGAATATTATGGCTAGAAGAAGTAAAGAAGGGGGAAGTAGAACTAGCAAGACGGTCAGCTGTTTCGTTACCTAATATAATGGCGTGGCCCGGCCCCAGTGAAAAACAATAGACTTATTTTGGGATCGAATTAAGCAGATAAGTGATCTAATAATAAGAATGTAAGGAGAAAGATGAGAGCAAAATGGATTAGAAGTCAGGGCAAGTAGGCAAGATAGAGAATCAAAAAAAGTAGCAAATTCATTAATTGAAGTAGAAGATATAAAAATGAGAGCATTAACGATGGCAAGGCATTCAGTGGTAAAAGAAGAAGAAGAAGGGTGGAGTGCAGCTGAGTATGAAATATTAAGTTCAGGAATAAAGAAAGAACAACCAGCCGAGTTAGTTGATACAGAACCATCTGTGAATATCAAGCATTTAGTCGAAAAATTAGCTGACATATAATCTTTGAAGAGATTATTAACGGAAGTTGCAGGAAGAGAACGGAGGAGTGAAGGAAGGAAACACGTTGAAGTATACACTATGGGAGCTGTTGTAAGAGCCACTAGAGGACAGTCAAATAAAGGTAATCTGGAGTGTGATTTGTAAATGTGATGGACCATGGGTGACAGAGAAGAGCATACTGAGGCTAAAATTGGCAGTGATTTAGGCATGTAGCGCTAACTTAATTCGGAGTATAAGGAGAAGATATGATAGTTAGGGGTGGAGAGAGATTTTAGGAGAAATTTATTAGCAAACAAGCGACAGCGGATTTCGAGGGGGGAGAGGAGCACTCAACAAAAATACTTTGGCTCGGGGTAGACTTAAGAACACCAAGAATGCTGCGCAAGTATACGGATAAAAGGGAATTAAGTTTTTTCCTATGAGTGTAGGAAGCTGAAGAAAATAAAAAAGAGCCGTATTCAATTTTAGCGCGGATAACGGATTTAAAAATGAGAAGTAATGAGGAGGGATGAGAGCCCCAGGATGTACCAATATTACAACGCAAGAAATTTGACCAGCGAGCAGCGGACGAGAGAAAAAAACGGAAATGAGGAAGCCATCTCAGCTTAGGATCCAGTTTAAGGCCTAAATAAATGACGCATTCAGAGGGGAAAAGGATAATTGTAAATGCATTTTTTAGACAAATAGACATGTTTTTATTTCGAAATTGTATTTAACATGATAGTATCACATATAAGGACCAAATCTTTTTAACCTAAAATAAAATCAGCTAAATATTCTTACAGAAAAATGAATTCACAACTATCTTATTTATATACATTTACCTCACTTACCATACCTAAAAAATTACTTATTATTTTTTTAGGCGATGTTTGTAATTTATGATCTAAGTATATTTATGAAAGGTGCGAAAACATTAAAGGACTATTGTTCTGCAAGAAATGTAAATCTTAAAGGTAAAAACTTAATTAAAAAATAATTGGTTCAAATAAAGATACTTATTCTAAATCTTTTATTATTATGATGGAAAAATATTATTTTATTAGAATTTAGATAATTTTAGTGTGGATGATTTTGTTATGTATTTATTCAAAATATAAGTTGTCGAGTAAAATTTTATTCTGTGTTTTAGGTACTGAAGCTTTTTATACTGAAATATTGACTGCATCTTATTTACTAAACACGTGTATATATATTTACTCAACTGAACATAAAATATGGCAATTTTTTTATAAAAATTGGCCAAATTATTCATTACTTAATATGAAAAAAAAAAAATGTATTTATCTCACAGATACTAAAAACTACATAGATGTCGTCACTGATGTTGTAGATAATAATATTATCAATGATGTTGAGTTATTAGATACAGAAAACATTAATAAATATGTTTAAGGTTATATAACAAATTAATTAAATAAGTCGTCTATCAACATCAAAAAGAAATTGTTCAGCGTTTCTTTCATAAAACATTTAACTATTTATTATTTCAAATTAATTTTCATTTTATAAAAATTATTATAATACTTGTTTCCTTTTGGAATTAAAACTATGTTCACTAAAAAATAATAAAATAGTAATTTTATTTTAATAATAAAAAATAATTGATAATATTTCTTGATAAGTAATTAAATTTATTTAATATTTCAAAATGAAATAATTTAGTTTTAAATTTTCTTAAAATATATATAGATATAAGTAGAGTAACTATAAAAAGATAAATACTTTTAAATCACTAAGCAGAGAAACTTGATCAATACGTTAAATAAAATACACAAAATACAACAGTTGTATAATAAATTATTTATAATATTTAATAATTATTATTAAACAAAAATAATTTTTTTCAAATATTGTACTTAAAAAAACACTATGTATACATGAAGCAATACAATATAATTTTTCCCTATTTAAACTATCTTTGGAAAAGTTATTGAGTACTCGTGGTTTGATTTTTTATATTTGTTAAGTACTGTAAGCAAACACTCAATAAACTGTTAATAATACAACAGCTGAATAGAAAATTTATTGGAAACAGTATCTAACAAAATTAGGTTGTTTCTAATTTTATTCGAATAAAAGATGCAATTTAGTGTTGTTTGAATAATGTAACGACGAAACTGTGTAAATATAAATCATTTTAGTGTATAATTTAAGTAAAATATATTTTTGTTTTTTCTAAATAAATTAGAGAAATAATTTTAATGCCGTTATAAAATATATTAACGTCAAAATTACGTTATAACTTATGATATTTACAAGAATAAATGCCAAAATTGTTTTTCAACCAATATTATTAAATCAAAACACGTAAACAATCAAATGTTTCATCGATTCATATAGTCTTTAGAAAAAAAATGTAATAAAAGAATTTCCTCCAGCGGTCGTTTTCCGGCAAACGTTTTAGAATAAATAATATAAAAGGACAATCAAAAATGAATGAGGAGGTTATAATAATATAGAATTATTACTAAAGCAAATAATGCAGGAAAAAAAAATAAAATATAAAGCTTTATGTCAAAAGACATTTTTGATATGATAGGTGATTATCATTCTGACAAACGATGCAAATGATCACGAATTTAAGTTATATATAAATCTAAAGAATAAATAAGTAATATAAATAATAAAAACGTGTATTTTTACTGTTTTACTATTATCAAATTCAAATCGATGTCATGTAGATGTTTACGAATGTAACTCTAAAACTTTCAATTTTGTAACGTTTTAGGAAGATCTCTGATTAGATCAATCAGAGATCATCAACAATATGAATCATGCGTATAATATTAACATCTTCACATTATTATAGCTGAAAATATATAAATCATTTATGATCAGAATAAAAGAAATATGGACTGTAACGTTTGTCATAAAATGCAATCAAATGAAAATGGATTAAATTTTAAACACCAAATGAAATCTCAAACAATTAAAATGCTTCTAAAAACATTTCCTTATAAGTGGGTACTAGATTTATTTTATGAACTACACACGTGTACTTGTACATATGTATAAACCTTATTTCTGAGCATGTCAAAAATTTATTTTAAATTAATTATTTAATATGACGTGTTCAAATAAGTGTAAATAAAAACAAATTTTAAGAGTCGATGTACAATTTTTTACTTATTAAATCTAATTTTTTTCGACATAATTTAAGTTACAAAAAAAAATCCAGCACAGTGGGGACGTGCCATTGTTGGGTCAAGTATAGTTGATATTTGACTGTGATTAAAATCACTATCAAAAATAAACGCTTCAATGCAAATCTTTAGATTGTGTTTAATTTAAAAAAAAATGGTGTATTATTNGCTTCGATGCAAATCTTTAGATAGTGTTTAATTTTAAAAAATTGGTGGATTATTCCAAAAGCTTCATGATCTGCTAGTTCCTTATTAATATCTTGATTAAGATAAAGTATGTCGAATGAAAAAGGGATTATTAAAAAATATTATTACACTTTTCAATAAGTTATAGCAATTTAAAGTAAAAAATGTAAATTATAAAATCGAGAATTTTCATACGAAAATAGCATTCGGTAGCCATTTTCAGTACAAAGTCAAGTCCAGAGGTCAAATTTTTTTTTTTCATAATAAAATACATTACATTAGCTTTAATTTAAGATATATATAAAAGTGTCAGACTTTCCGGAACATTTTCAAAAGTTAAGTTGAAAAAGTAAATTTTTTGCGAAAAAGTTGTCATTTTAAATCCCTCCTTGTGGGCAGGTTAAGGGTTAAATTTATGAAAAAAATATACCAAATGAAAGGTAATAATATTATGCATCTATATAAAAATAAATTATATTGATTTGTTCATTTTTGAAAAAGTTATGGCAGTAAAAAAAATTGAAAAAANAATTTTTTGTGAAAAAGTTGTCATTTTAAATCCCTCCTTGTGGGCAGGTTAAGGGTTAAATTTATGAAAAAAATATACCAAATGAAAGGTAATAATATTATGCATCTATATAAAAATAAATTATATTGATTTGTTCATTTTTGAAAAAGTTATGGCAGTAAAAAAAATTGAAAAAATTTCGAAAATTAGCGATTTTTAAATTTGTAATTTTTTTGGAGGTTTCCCCCATTTACGGGGAACGAGGGAATTTTTTTCAATTTTTGAGGGTAATGTCTTCGACTAGATACAATTTGTGATCTTTTGACGTATCATTGAAAGAAATCGGTTCGGTGAGAGCTGAGAAAAAGTGGTAACAGACACAAAAAATAAAAATAAATAAATACATCTTAGTAAAACCAATACCTTCTCAGCTTCACATCGAAGCTAAAATTAGGCATCTAGTATTGGTCTAAAAAAATGAATATCAATCGTGTTTTTTGGATTCTAGACCACCTTGTGACAATAATGTTTTTATTATTTTTAATTCACATGGTATAATTTTTTACACATAGTCAAAAGGTTACCGAGTTTTTTACCTATATATATTTAATCATAGGTAAATCAATCGCATCATTTTCTTTCTTAAATTATAAAAATAAGACTATGAATTAAACAACCTTAAACCTTTAATTCTTCATAACTTCTAAGTATGTAAGTCTAGACAGCTAATTTTTTTATCGATTCAATATATCTTGTACTAAAATTTTATGTTTATTTTGTGAGTTCATTTGGTTCTATTTTTTTAAATAAGATTTAAAAAGAATTTTAGAAAAAATTGTTTTTACTCTAATTAATTTATTTACTAATGCAAAAGAAGAGGTTAGATATATATATATAATAAAATTAATCTCTGAAATGTGAGAAATAATAGGGTATAAAAACTTTTCAAAATTATTAATTTTTTTTTACTAAACAAATTATACTAAAAATTAGGTATTTTTAAAGGTAAAAACAGTATTTATTAACTAAAATTTATTACTTCTCTAAAAATTGAAATAAAATAAAATTTGATTATTTATTTTTGTTGTTATATAATACATGACTTCATCAATGACTAATAAAAAAATTATAAAAATAATAAAGTAGTTGTATATGCTTTTACTTTTGACGCGTATATAAATTGAAAGGGCTTGATGATATACTTTTCAATACAAAATGTTTGTTACTCATAACAAATTTGATAAATTTGCTTTTTAAAAAAAATAACTAATATTTATATTTTTTCTTGTGGAAGGGGATGAAAATGCTTTCACAGCCCCTCGGCTAGACGTCTAATTAGGTTGAGTGAGGTATACAACCGGCATAAAATTTTGACAAAAAGTATGAGGAGTCTTGAACAAAAATTGGGCGGATGTCACATCTCAGATGTACATGGGACACCAGATGAGAGAAAATAAAATAGTTAGATAAGGTCTAAAGAATTAGTGATTGATATCAACCGTACAAGTTGTGGTTGCTATTTCACCAGTTATATGTAAAGGCCTACCCAATGCTTGTAGTGTCAACGATGTAGGAACATCATCACTCAACTCTAAGGTGGACTCGTATATTGGTGAGAAAGATAGATACAAAATAAGTTTAGGTACGTGGATTGTTGGAACATTAACTGGTAGAGGTAGAAAATTAGTAGAAATATTGAAGAAGAGAAAAGTTTATATTTTTTGTGTAAATAAAACTAAAAGAAAGGAAGGAAAGCAAGGGAAATAAATGAGGATTATAAAATAATATACTCAGGTAAGATCAATACAAATATTGGTGTAGGGATAATAATGGATGAGGAGATGAAAAGTAAAGTAGTAAAAGTAGTTACAAAAAGTAAAAGAATTATAATCGTAAAATTAATTTTCGAGGAAAATGTGTTGAATGTAATAAGTGCCTATGCGCCACAAATAGCATGTAATGAAATAGACAAGGAAATGTTTTGGAAAGAGATAGATGAAGTGATGCAATAAATACCTGGTAATGAGAATGCGGTGAGAGGTTGGAATGAATAGATATGGTAATGAGAGGAGACGATATGAAAAAGTCATGGGTGTATGGTTTTAGTGGAAGAATGGGACTAGAAAGAGAATCCTGAATTTTGTAGTATCGTATGATTTTGCTGTGGTTAATACTTATTTCAGAAATCGGAAAAACATTAAATGTGGACTGTTTTATTTCTCTCTTAAAATTCATTTACGTTAACTGTTTAATTATTGGATAAAAATTTTTTTAATAACACACATGAGTAACGATTTTCCTCTTTTTTGTATATAAGAACCACCTACACATTTTCGCCATTTTCGACATACCGTTTGACGACATCAAGGTCGATTCCAAAAGTAGGTTAAGGATAAATCACCATCTCAATGAAAAATAATGAAAATATATTTTGAAGAAGGTAATTAAAACTATTTTTTAAAAACAAGTGAACTCATAAAACATTCCTAAGTACACCATTGTGTCTAAAAACATTTTAACCTAAGATTAAAAAAAACCCAGCACAGTGGGGTGGCTGCACAGTGGGATCGTGGCATAGTTGGGTACTATCAGATATCATCTATACTAGATAGATGATATCTGACAGTGATTAAAATCACTATCATATAAAGGCTTCGATGCAAATCTATAGATAGTGTTTAATTAAAAAAAAAAAAATTTGTTAAAATAGCATATTTTT